GGGCGCGCGCACGCGCGCCGGCCGCCCGGGCAGGAGGAGAGTCGGCAGGAATAGGAGGCCAGATGCGAACCCGACCCCAACCCCCCCACGAATTCTGAGGGGCAGGGTGGGGTTCACCTCGCTCGGGAGCTCCCGAGCGAAGTGAACCCCACCCTCCCCCTCAGAAATCGTGGGGGGTAGGGGTAGGGTTCGCATGTGGCCCCCTAACGCACGAAATGGGTACGGAAAGAATGGGTACAATGCCCAACAGCAGTACCTGTTCAGTTTGGGCAGGACTCGCTGTCCACGCCGCCGCGGCCCGTGTCCATTCGAGACTGAAGGCCGCCTGCCCAACAGCGGCCGCTGTTGGTTCGGGACGACGTTTGTTGTTCGACATGGTGCCCATTTTTTCCGTACCCATTTCTAGGCGTCCAAAGAGAGGAGGGCACCTAGGCGTGCTGGCGACGTGAGCAGAAATCACGGCGGAAGGTTTCTCGCCGTGTTCGGCCTCCGCGGGCCTTGGCCGGGCTCCGAGGCCGTCAGCAGAAGGGGCTCTCGGGATGGAACGCCAGCTCTGGGCAAGGGGTCGGGGCTTCAGGGCGTCCCGCAGTGGAGAAGATCAGAACGTCGGACGTCTGGGAAGGGGGGGGGGAGAAGGCAGGAGTTGTCAAGTTTTGCTCCCGCCCCGGGTCCTGACCCCAGAGGTCCCGCGGTTGTTCCAGGAGGTCCGTCGAGCCACGCAGCAGCGCGTTGGCCGCCTCCACGAGGTCTTTCTGCAGGTTGGGAGTTGTACTACGACGCTCAGGTCATCAGGTCCCAGAGCAGATCGAAGGAGGAGGAGGAGGAGGAGGAGGAGGAGGAGGAGGCCGGCCTCGCATGCGATCAGCGCTATTCTTCCATCTCATGTGCCTGAGACAGCGGTCGGCTGCGAGGCCATGCGAAGGGGGTGTGGGCCGATCGGGCTTTCGGAAGCACAGGGGCATCGCGCCAGGTGATGATGCGTTTATTCCTATGTTGCACGCGCTTTAGCGTGGACAGAAGGAAGGGAGGAGTAGGAAGAGGAGGAGGAGGAGGAGGACGACGAAACGACGAAGAAGATGACGAGATGAGGAAGGGGCGGAGGAGGAGGAGGAGAAATAGGAGGATGACGGGGGCGATGCTGATGAAGATGATACTGATAATTATGATGGTGATGCTGATGATGCTGATGATGTGTTTGATGATGCTGGTGATGATGATGATGATGATGATGATGATGAGGAGGAGGAGGAGGAGGAGGAGGAGGAGCATGATGATGAGGATGACGAGGAGCAGGACGAGGGTAATGATGATGATGATGATGATGATGATGATGATGATGATGATGATGGTGGTGGTGGTGGTGATGGTGATGGTGATGGTGATGGTGATGATGATGGTGGTGGTGGTGGTTGTGATGATGATGATGATGATGATGATGATGATGATGATGATGATGATGATGGTGGCGATGATGCTTATGATGATGGTGATTTTGGTTGATGATGATGATGCTGATGATGATGCTGATGATGCTGCTGATGATGATGATTATGATGCTGATTGTGAGAAGGAGGAGGAGGAGGAGGAGGAGGAGGAGGAGCAAGACGATGAAGAGAAAGACGAGAAGTTCACGAGAAGGATGACAAGGATATCGAGGAGGAGGAAGACTGGGAGGGGAGGGCGGAGGAGGCGAAGGAGGGCACGAGAGCATGGATGTGGAGCAGGACGGGAACCCCAGCAGGACAGCCGGCAGGAGCAGGAGGAGGACGCTGAGGTGCAAACCGAGGAGGAAGAGGAGGACAAGGAGAGCGATAATAGTGATGGAGGGGAACATTGAGCCCCAGGAGCAGGAGAAGGGGCATGGTGACGCGAAGACCCCAGGGGCGCCGCCGGAGGCGGCGCCAGGGTGCCGAACCGCCGCGGCTTCCTCGAGGGGCCCGTTGGAGCCAGCTGGGACTGTCTGGGGGGCCTGTTGAGGCCAGCCGGGGTTGTCTGCGCGCAACCCGAAGCCTCACCACACTTTCGACCCGAAGGCCCCCTCGCCGCGCGCGTCATCTCCACCCTTGCCCGCTGCCCGCTTCACCTCTCCGCGCCTGCTGCCGCCCGCTGCCTCCCGCCACCCCCTCTCGGGGGGGCGGCGATGCGACACCGACACCACCAGGGGGGCCACCTCCAGCGAGGCCCCGAGCTGGAGGCTGGGGACGCCTCGAGCGAGAGGGGGGACCACACCACCAGGGATACCCCCTTGCTCCTCGCATCGCCTCGCCCTGGTGGTGTTGGTGTCGCCTTTCCTTGCTCCTGCCCCCCCCCCCCCGCAAGCGGTGCGGCCCGCGTCGGGTGCGCCGGCGCGCCGCCTGGCCCCGCCGCGGCCCGCGATGCGCCCGCCGGCCCTGCGCGGTGCGCCTGGCCAGGCGCGGGGCGGCCCCCGCCCTGCATGGGGGGGGGGCAGCGCGACGCCGCCGCGCTGCCTGGGCGGTCCCAGAGGGCCAGAGAGTTTTGTAGAAACCTCAGTATGGAAAGGCCACTCGGAGGGAGTTTTTCTTTGCAACATCCTTGATGCGCCTTGGGTTCACACTGGTCCGCGTCCTCCTCAGCATCGTCGTTACAGTCGGGCCGAGGTATAAGATCGAGGTCGGTTCGGGGAGAGTGCCCCAGTGTTCTTGGTGTCCGTTGGATGTCCCTGCGCACCCGGCGGAGGCTACCCTTGAATGTTCTGTTTGTTTTGGCCGAGGGAGGGTCTCGCGTCATCGAGGGATGCTCTCCTGGCCTGGGTCCGACTGCACCAGCAAGAGCCGCAGGCGGCACAGGAGCAGGCTCGGGCAGCAGGCCGGCCGGAGAGCCGCCCCTGGGGAGCGCACGCGGTGGCCTCCGCCGCGGCAGCCACTGGCCTCGCCTCCCACACAGGCGGGCCGCTGAGGAACGAGTCCTTCTCGTTAGGGAGGGGCTCCGTTGTCCTCACTTCTATTGCTAAGGCCTTACGGCCGGTGCCGCCGACCCTGGAGGCCTGGGCCCTCGACGGAAATGGGAGGGAGAGGGCGGGCCATGGGCCCCAGGAGGGTGGTGTTCTGACCCAGGACCACCTCCCCAGGACCACCTCCCTGGACCCACCCCGGCACACCACTTTCCTTCGACACAATGACACAGTTGCTTAATTTCGCTGTGGATGGGCTGGTTTCTTTCGCTTTGGCTGGCGTGCTTGACGACGAGGGCCCAAGGAAAGGGAGGGAGCGGCGACGGACTCAGGGGAAGTTTGGGACGTGATGGCGGCGGCGACGCGACGGCGGCAGCGACGACGACGGCGACGGAACAGCCCCTGTCACACGCCGGCAGGGTCGGCGGATTGCAGTTCGTCTCAGGTTGTCTTCGGCTCCCTTTTCGGAGCATCGGAGCTTCACTTATGGGGACAGGGGGCCTCCGTCCTTCTATTCTCATGACAAGGTTTCGGCCGTATCCGCTGCGTCGGGGGCCGGGACTCCGTGCGCACGCGGGGCTCGTTTCTCAGAAGCCCCCATGCGGGATGCAGCCCGCGCACGACCGCGCAGCCACGGGATATATCGCTCGCCCGGGCCGCGAGCTCGTGTGGATGTATGGACACGTTCGTCGTTCTCGTGGCCTTGGCAACGGATCCGGCGTCAGCACTGTTCCTCCGCATGAAGAGCATGGGTGTGGGCGTGGGATGTGCACTTTCCGGGCCGAACGAAAGTGGGGGACAGGGAACGGGGGGGTTACGAAATCTGCTGCATGCAGCTGGTTTCGGCCCCACCGAGGGGCCCATTTCTCGATACATAGCCGCCAGCTGCGTGAGCTGATTCTCCCCCCCCCCCCTTTGCTATCCCCCCTTTTGGCCGACCCGAGAAGAGCATGGGTGTGGGCGTGGGATGTGCACTTTGACTGAGTGCGGCTCAAGGCTATGTCAAAGGCTCGGCACTTCACGTGTTAGGGCGTGAGGCCGTGGCTGCGCCTTCCCGAGCGCCTGAACCAACGAACGAAGCTGCGATGTAGTTATGGATGCTATAGACGCTTCGCTTTGCCTCACCAGCCTATCCAGAAACGATGTCCAGACGAGTTGCCCTGATCAGGGATGTGGAGGAGCATGCAGTGGAACAAAGGGCTGGGTAAGACGTCATACCCCAAGGGGGAGGATGGAGGAGGAGAAGGAGGAGGAGGAGGGAAGAGGAGGAGGAGGGAGGAGGAGGAGGAGGAGGAGGAGGAGGAGGGAGAGGAGGAGGGAGAGGAGGGAGAGGGGGAGGGGGAAGAGGGAGGAGGAAGGAGTAGGAATACGTAGGCGGATAAGGAAGAGGAGGAGGAGGAGAAGGAGTAGGAAGAGGAGATCGAGCATAAAGGTCAGATGCCTCTTGGATGTGTCTCTGAGTCTTTTCGGATGTCTTTGGAGAGCTTCTTGGATTCCTCTTGGAGAGTCTTCTGGGTCTCTTGGCAGTCCCGGGGGCATCTTGGGGTGTCTTGGGTGCTTCGGGGCCGTCTTTGGGTACCCTAGGAGCCTCGGGGGCCATCTTGGAGCTATCTTGGAAGAGATCGATCAAAGGAGGGGACGTACTACAATAGGCACTAACACGTGGCCACGATCTTAGTAACAACTACGATGTAGGCCGTCTCGCCGAGGCCAACAAAGCCCCTCTGAGATCCGACGTTGCGAAACAAATGCAACATCGCGAAACATCACGACTGGAGCCCCAGACCCCATCTTTCTGCGTCAGCTTTCTGGCTGCATCGACCCATGAGGGTCCCGGGGCCCGAGCCCGCGCGCAGGAGCCCCTTGCTCGGAGAAACCTCGCCCCGCCAGGAGCCCAGCTCGCCCTCGGAGTCGCTGCCCTGAAAGCGCCGCCGGCCAGGGCTGGAGACGAGGAGGAGGAGGACGAGGAGGAGGAGGAGGAGGGGGAGGAGGAGGAGGAGGATCGCCCGTCGAGAGCGGATGATGAAGAGGACGCTGAGCAGGAGGACGAGGAGGACGAGCAGGAGGAGGAGGAGGACGCCGCCGCCGCACATCTGCCGCCCCTCGGGCTCCACGCGGCGGAGAGCCGCCCTCCCCTCAAGAGAGCGAGCGCGCGCGCGGGCGGCCCCGCGGCTACCCCCGGCCGCTCCTGGCCCCGCGGCTCCTCGAGGCGCGCCGCGCCCGCCCCGCGGCTCTCGCGGGCGAAGAAACAAATAGCATCGTGCCCTCGAGCCGTCCTCCTCCTCCTCCTCCTCCTCCTCCTCCTCCTCCTCCTCCTCCTCCTCCTCCTCCTCCTCCTCCTCCCAGTGCCGGATCAGATGGGGTGGACTCGGAGCAGATGGGGTCCATCGGCGATGCGTCGCCGACGTCGCCGATGCATCGCCGAGGCGTGGGCGATGCCTCAGCGGCGCGGCGCGATGCTGCGACCCCGTTCACTCCGACCCCATCTGGGAGGCCTCCACGGCCACGGCCTCGCGGGCAGGGCCCCCGGGCCGCGACCCCGCGGGCACGGGGCATCTGTCTCGCGGGTGGCCCCGCGCGGAGGGCAGCCGTGCGACCGCGCACCCGCGGGATCGCGCCCGGGAAGCCGGACCGCTGGGGCGCGGAGGCGGACGTGTGCGCCGCGCGTGGGTCTCGTTGCCGTGCTGTCGCCGCCCTGCCTCGTCCAGGTGCAGCGTCAGGGGGGGCATCTATAGAGAGGTCCGGAGAGGGGGGAGCGTCGGCCTGCAGTCGGCGGCTAACATCGCCGGTGGATCGGCGACATGCCCCCGTGTGGCGAATCCGCACGTCCCTGGGCGGTGCGGGCTGGGGGGCCCGAATCGGCGATGAGCTGGCCACTGGGGGGCGATGCACTCCTCCCTGAGCAAGTCCCCCCAAGCGTTGCGCCTGGTTCGTCGCCGTCGTCGCCGTTGTTGACGCCGCCGCCGTCGTCGAGCATCCGGGGGCCGATCGAGGATCGAGCGTCGCCGCGGTTCCCCCCCTCCCCCGATCTCGGCCTCGCGGGGACCGTTTTCGGCCGCCCTGGGGCCCCCAAGCATGGATTCTGGGATGAAGGCCGCCCCCCCGGGCGAAGGGTCGCGACTGCCGGCGTCGTCGCCTTCGGCTGCCTTTGTCGCCGCTGTTGCCGACGCCGTCGTCGCCGAGCATCAGGGATCGAGGTTTCTTGTGAAGTCCTTGGGTTGATTTGCGCTTCAGGGGCGCCTGGACATTGCTGGGCAATGTTGAGCCTCCGATGCGCGCGCCATCGTCGCCACGGTCGCCTCGAATTCGTGTCCGGTTCGCCTCAAACTCCTCGTCAGAGCGCGCACCAGTTCGGGGGTCGCAGTCGTTGTCCCGCACCTCGGCGTCGTCGTCGTCAAAGACCCCGTCCTCGTCGTCCAGTGGACGAGGGACGAGAGTGTGGATGTTGTGGAGCAGCGCCTGTGTGGACCCATACCTTCGATGACGTTCTGCGTCTTTCCCCGCATGGGCGCAGGCCCAGAGTTTCCTTGCAAGTAGGGAAACCTGTCCCCCTGGCGCCATGGCCGGCAAGGGCCAGCGGGACCATCTCTGTTAAACATCAGGGCGCGGATTCGATTATGTTCCCTATGTTGAGCGCCATTGCGAAGCATCCTGCACGCTGCGCACGAGGAAGACCAGGGGGGGGCAGCAGGATCACAAGGGGGCCAGGAACCCGGACACCTGGCGCTCAAGTTGCTTCGATGCGTGGACCCCTGGAGGTCTGGACAATCTCCTCACGGCTGCTCTGTTCATCCTGCGTCGTCTTTCGACCTTTCTGGGTCCGCTGAGGGCCCTCCGGAGAAGGCGCATTTCTGAGGCACCAGAGACTCCGCAGTCGGCCAGTCGGCCTGTCGGCCAGTCGGCCAGTCAGAGTCGGCCAGGGTCGGGGGGGGCAGTCGGATAGTTCATCCTAGTGCCCCCAAAATTGTCCAATTGCCCGAGGCCCAAAATGATCAAATCCGGCCGCCCCAACGTAATGGAGGATGACGATTAAGAAATGACCGGGGGTCGTGTTCACGCGGCGGTGCCCGGGATGACGATTAGAAATAACCGGCCGCGGGCTGGAAAACTATGTTTTTAATCGTTCTCATCCAGTCAGAAATTTGTGCAGAAATAGCAGAAAACTATTTTTTCAATCGTTCTCTCCTTTTTTTTGTATTAATCGTCATCCCGCATCGTTCGTAGCATCGGATCTCTGGGAGGGAGGGGACGGCCTTGGCTAAGGCGAGCGCGCAGAGCCGCTCGCGGCGCCCACCCGCCGGGCAGCAGGCTGCGATGTCCGTGCTGGGAGGCCCGAGGAGGAGGACGACGACGACAGGGACGATGCCGTCGGCGACGACGGCGGCCACGACGACGTCGACCGCCACAGCGACGACGACGACGTCGACGACGACGACGAAGACGACGACGGGGATCTCGGCGACGACGGCGATCTCGACGACGACGACGACGGCGGCGGAGGCAGCGGTGACGTCGACGACGAGCGTTTCCGAAGATCCAGAGGTTCTGGGGCCGCAGGGTGCTTTCCTTCAGCCGCGCCCCGTCGAGAGCATGTTTTTGAAGCCCGCCAGAGTCGCCCCGAGCGGACCTCACCGCCCGACAGCCGCCGGCTACGATAGCGAACGACAATGACGACGAAGCCGAACGATTTTGACGGCGGCGGCAGTGGCGATCATGACAGCGAAGACGACAACGGCGACGGTAACGACAAGGGACAGCAGCGGCGGCAGCGGCAGCGACGACGACGAAGCCTTGTGGGGTGTTCTCGGGCCGCGCGGTTATCTCCAGAGCCCGCTCCTCGTCGGACGGCGACGGCCACGGCCACTACGGCGGCGTTGGCGGCGACGACGACGACGACAAGGACGACGACAACGACAACAACGATGACGACGACGACGACGACGACGACGACGACGACGACGACGACGACGACGACAAGGACGACGACAAGGACGACGACGACGAAGACAAGGACGACGACGACGACGACGACGACGACGACGACGACGACGACGACGACGACGACGACGACGACGGCGACGGCGACGGCGACGGCGACGGCGACGGCGACGGCGACGGCGGCGGTGGCGGCGACGACGACCACGATGCCGACCACGACGAGGAGGCCCACGATGTCGACAACGATGCAACGACGACGACGACGACGACAACGACGACGACGACCTCGTCGGCTGCGGCTGCGGCCACGGCGGTGGCGGCGGCGGCAGCGACCTCGACGACAGTAGGGTCGGCCCGTATTCCGCCGCGGCGCGTCTCTGGGGGGGGAGGAGGCAGGAGGAGGCCGTGGTCCCGTCAGGCTACGAGAGGCCCCCCCGTGCCGGCCAAAGCCTCACGCCACATGCGCAGAGTCCGCCCGTGGGCCTGCGGGCCCCGCGCGCCAGGGATGCGGACCGACCGGCCTCCCCGGAGAGCCCAAAGCCTCTGGTGCCTGCACGGCGCACCCTGCACGGGAGCTCGGCCGGGCGCGTGCCGTCCGACGTGTCCGCGCAGCTGGCGGGGGGGATCAGGCAGGATCGGGCAGGATCGGGGATCGGAGAGGGGAGTGGCGATCGAGGGCAAGCTGGGAGTGCTCGCGCCCTATCTGGCATCTGACCCCTCCCACCCATCCGATGCTCGGACGCGTGGCACAGCAGACCTGGAAGTCCCGAAGAGATCCCGTCGTGTTGTGTGCAGTCGGAAACGGGGAGCTGTCTGGATAGGAGAGGGAGGGGGCGGATGGAGAGGAAGAGGTGGCGGATGAGCAGGAAGATGAGAAGGAGGGAGAGGAGGAGGACGAGGAAGGAGGAAAAGGACGAGGACAAATATCAGCAGCGGGAGTTGGGGTGGATGGAGCAGGAGGGGCAGGAGGGCCAGGGGAAGGTGGATAAGGGAACCGGACAGGGCTGAACACGTGGAGGAAGGTCTTGCATCCACAAAAGCGGCCTGCGCTGGGGCGATGAAGCCAGCGCCGCAGCGGCAGCACCACCCTGAGACACCGAAGACGTTCCGATTCACACTGGCGTAGGGACGTGGAGCGAAGCGAGCAGTTTCACAAGCTCGGTTCGCTCGCGCAAGGTCTGACACCCCACCCCTCACCTCCATCCCTGCCAGTGGCCCCGTGTTGGTCCTTGTCCGCGGACGCGTGTCATGGCAGAGGCGGCATTCTGACAAGGGCCCCATCGTGTAATGCACAACCGGAAATGGGGAGTTTCGAATTATACCTCACACTGACGACGTTCACCGTACATTGGAGGAGGGGGTGGCGGACAAGCAGGAGGTTGAGCAGAAAGAAACGGAGGATGAGGGAGAAGGAGGAGGACGAGGACGGACAGCAGCACCAGGAGTTGGAGTAGAAAGAACGGGAGGAGCAGGAAGACCAGGGGAAGGCGGAGGAGGAGAAATTAGGGGGGCGATAACGACGAGGAAGGACTCAGTTCCAGAAAAGTGGCCAGCGCTGGTGCGAGAATGCTCATATGACCGACGAGGGCAAAACGCCGATCCTAAAACGAGGCCCACGCTACAGCGGCAGCACCACTTTGAGGGGCCGAAAACAACAGCACCAGTTTGAGGCCCACGCTGCAGCAGCCGGTGCCATTGTGAGGGACAGAAACACAGAACGTGTACAACAACGTTTTCGATTCCGTGTGAAACAAAAGAGGACGCGGAGAGGGCCGGCTTTCTTCCAGACGGAGTCATGGCATAGAGGAGAGTAATATACCTAATGTGTTATGCCCCTTGAGGGGAGTGGATCGAGGATACATGTCTTTGTCGGTGTCCGCAGAAAGGTATTTGCGTGATTCTGGCTTGTTCTTGAGTGGTCGTCCCCACGTTTCCCTCTGTGTTGCCCCCCTGCTCAGCCAGTTCACACTCATCGTTCTTACCCTCATTCTGAACAGACAACGTCGTCATATCATCATACTCCCTATTATCGTCCTCGTTCTTCTCATCGTCAACCTGATACTCCTGCTCCTTCTCCTTCCGCCCTCTGCACCCCGATATCAGCACCGTAATTCCCCCCTCTGTCTCAGCCCTTCTCCTGCGCCTCTTTACCCTCTGCGTCATCCTCTGTCCGTGTCTTCCTGCAACGGCTCCAACCTCTCCTACTCCTCTTGCTTTCCCTCCAGCTTCTCGTCCTCCTCCAGCGGAGGTATAAAAGTTGTATCCCCAAGAGCTGACAATGTGTTTAGATCCTGGCTTTCCGGAAACCGCCACATGGCAAAATACTAGCAAAAGCATCGGTCTTCGAAGTTCGAACCTTGAACCGCGTCTTCTTCCTCCTCCTCCTCCTCCTCCTCCTCCTCCTCCTCCTATGTATTGGCGCTCCTCCTCCTCCTTCCCTTTCCTGTTCGACTCCGAGGCCTGTTCGGCTCCGTGTGCACGGTGGACATCACCTACGACGCGGAGCAGAATCGCAAGACGGCGCCGCTGGGAAAGGACTGGGCGCGGCCTGCCGAAGAATAATGGGCGCGGCACTCGAGCCAGACCCCGTGGATCCTGCTCCTTTCAGTCTGGGCGTGTTTCATGGTGTTCGGACTGTTCTGTTCTTGTCAGTTTGTTCTGGGGCGGCAAGCTCTCCAAGAAGTGGTCGGGACATTCGGGGCCGCGGATCAAGCAGACCTCATCTCAGAGGAGTTTGGGAACGGGCGCAGCGATCGAGCAGGTCCGCCCAGGGCGGTCCGAGAAGCGTTGAGCCGTCTCGTGCGGCGGAGGACCGGCGGCAGTAGAACACGGCCACGGCCGTCTCCGGCGGCTGCAGCTGCCCAGCGGGTCGGTTGGGTGTGACAGTGAACCGATGCGGGGCGATAACAGAGGAGGGAGGAGGAGGAGGAGGAGGAGGAGGAGGAGGAGGAGGAGGAGGAGGAGGAGGAGGAGGAGGAGGAGGAGGGAGGATGAGGAAGAAGGGGGGCGTGGGATAAAGTGCCCTTCTCGGGCCCGAAAGGTCCCCCTCAAGGGTCCTACGGGGCCCCTTTTCTGCAGCACTCGCTGCCTGCAGCTCCCCCTCCCGCATTTATCGCCCCCCCCATTCATCGCGGTCCAAGGCGGCAGCAGAAGCCAGCGGAAGCGAATGATGCGCCCCCAACAGGCGATGTCCCATGCCAACAATTGTGGGCTCAGGTTTTCCGAAGCTGGTCACCTGGTGGCATGCGAACTGAAGCACAGAGCTGAGTGCAGCCTCGCGTCCTGCGTAACTCCTCGGCCCCTCACACACACACACACACTGCTCTCATTTCCGTTCCTCGTGCCCCCGCCCCATTCTTCCACCTCGCCGCCCTCTGCCCTCCTCTTACCCCCTCTTCCTTCCTCGTCATTGCTTGACAACTGGGGAGGGCTTGACGCCATTCTTCTTCCTCATCATCACTATTCCTTACCTTCCTTCCTTCTCCTCCACTGCTTCTCCTTCTCTCCTTCATCCTTCCCCCTCTTGCCCCTCCACAATCCTGCTCCTCCCTCTTGCCATCCCTCCCCATTCCCCCTCTGTTTCATCCTCCTCCATCACTCCAGCTCCTTGTTCTTCCCATCATCCCCTTACATCCTATTGCACCTCATCCTGCTCCTGCTCATCTTACTCCTTCTCCGTCCTCGTCTCCCCCCACTCTTGCTCGTGATCCTTCTGCCGCTTCCTTATCATCCGTCCCCCTCTTGCTGCTCCTCCTCCTCCTCCTCCTCCTCATCGTCCTCCTCCTCCTTCCTGTACCTCACTGTTTCTGCTCCGTCTCCTCTTCATACTCCTTCTCCCGAATGCATATTCTCCCGGCGGCGTTCCGCCCCCCCCGCTTTCTCAGCCAGCCTCCCCAGGACAAGAAGGGGGAGCGCGCCTACATCTACACGGACGGGGAGGACGTGACTGGCTCGGCCGTGGTCAGCGTGCGGCCAGGCAAGAAGATGGAGCACCAGGGCATCAAGGTCCTTCCTGCCCCGCCTCGTCCCTCCCCTCTCGCCGCCTCCCGTGTGGGCTGCAGGCCCACACTCTCGGGCGTCGGGTCGATCCCAGGGTGGTGTTCGATTCGTTTCGACATGCTGCCTCTTGAGGGACTCGTCCCTGGCTGCTCGTTGTCCTCACGCCTCCTCCCCGTCCGCCTGCAGTAGGCAGCCCTGGCGTTGGGCCGCCCGCCTCCGCCCCCCCCAACCCAAGGTGGAGCTCGTCGGGCAGGTGGACATGCTCTACGACAAGGCGAGTTCCTACGATTTCTTCACCATCACCAAGGACCTCGAGCCGCCTGGGAACCTGTACGAGTCGAAGCAGTACAGCTGGAAATTCGGCGCCGTGGACAAGCAGAACGAGACCTACAGCGGGATCAATGTGCGCCTGCGCTACTTCGTTCGGATCACCGTGATTCGCAACTACGCGAGCAACATCACGAAGGAGATCGACATGGTCGTGCAGAATCTCTACCCGCAGCCAGAGCTCAACAACACGCTGAAGATGGAGGTGGGAATCGAAGATTGCTTGCACATCGAGTTCGAGTACGACAAGGCGAAATACCACTTGAAGGATGTTGTTGTGGGTAAGGTATCTGGCGGCCTCCGACCAGCCGTCCCCCACAGTGGCTGAGCCCTGGGCCAGAGTCCTCTTGGGCATTCTAGGGCTTTTGGAGGGTCATTTAGGGGCCCTCTTCGGGGCCTCTTGGGTGCACGCCCGCCAGGAGGAAGGGAAGGAACGAGGAGGGGACCGATGAGGGGGAAGGGGGAGGAGGCGGAGTACCAACAAGGGGAGTAGATGAACGATGAGGCAATAGCAGCGGCGACCCGGAAACGTGCCAGAACATCATTCCTGTGACTTCAACACCGCGAATCTACATAACTGCTGCGCCCTCGCATTTTTGAGTCCTTCCAAACCACAAGTCCTGGCACGTTGACCCTGGGAATCAGTGAAGCCCTTGCAGCGTTTTGAAAACGAATGGGCACGGCGCCAAGGCGAGAGCCGCATTTGGGGAACGAGCCGCCCGTGCACATGCTTCAAACGAATGTACGCGGCGCCAGGGCGAGAACCACAGTTTGAAAACCCCCCACCCTCAATCCGTGAAACCTTTTCAAATGTTCAAAGCGTGGCGCTTAGGCGAGAGTCACACGATGGAAACGACCCGCCCTCAATACGTGAAACTCTTAAGTCGAACGTGCGCGGCGCTCGGGAGAGAGCCATATGTTGAAAACGACCCGCACTTCATCTGTGACATTGTTATCAACGTTTAAGCTTCAGGGTCATCAACGGTGAGGAAGGCTCATGCGAAACGCTCGACCCGCCCTTTTCGATTGGCCTCGGGGTGCGTCATGGAGGAGTTATTACTAAGGGAAGGACTGGAGGAGGAAGAGGAGCGCGGCCGCGCCTGACAGCCCTGAATTGCCGAAGCGAAACAAGTCAACGGGTGGCTACGCGCCCGCATCGGCCGCTGCGGAGCGCGGCGGGTGGATATTTCCTCCTTGTCCGCATCAAGATCAAGCACATGGAGCCCATCCGCCCCCATCCTCCCTCCCCATCGGCTGCATGTGCTCCTCCCGCTCGCCCCTACTCCTCATGCCTTTTTTTATATTCCTCCTCCTCCACCTCCTCCTCCGCCTCCCGCTCCTCCCTTGCTCTGGTAGGTTCCATGACCTTGCCCAATCCTGTATCTTTTCTGCAAGCCTCCCAGGCAAGATCAGCTAGATCATCATTTGAAGTGCCACGCGGTTCGCCTGCACGTCTTTCCTCTGCTCCCTCGGTTCCCCCCTCCTTCGCTTCCTGCCCCGAACTCGCCCGCCGCTGCTGCGCCCCCTTCCTCCCGCTTCCGCCTCCCCCGCTTGTTTCTACCGTTGTGGCTTACAATCCTACCTGTAGGTGTTGCCATACGCATGGTCACTCTGGGGGCCTCCGCGAGGCGCGGCTGCACGCCGCTGCTATCGCGAGTCGCTGTCAGCTGCTTCGCAGGCTCCCCAGTCCTGCCACAGTCATCCAGCGGGCGACGTTGCAGCTGTCTCTGCTCGCCTAAAGCAGTCAGCAGCGCCCAGAGTTCAGTGATCTCTCTTGGTCGGGGGGGGCCCAGTGGTCCCCCGCAGGCTGGGGGGTTCCGTTGGTCCCTCGCAGGCTGGGGGATGTCCGTGGTGCCTCGTAGGCTGGGGGGGCCCTGGGGTCTCTCGTAGGCGGGGTGGCCTCCATTGGTCCCCCGCAGCACTCTTCGCACCGGCACGGTTTCCCTCGAGGCTGTTCGGGCTCGGCTGGGGAGAGGTTCGGCCCGCTGAGCCGCCCGCTTGTAGCCCCTCCGCCTGTAAGGTCCGCAGGGGTTACTTACGATTTGGAGGGCAAAGCTTTTCACGTCATTTCGGGGGACGAAGTCTATACATATCCACTGCTCCCTGGCCAGGCCCTTCCTGAACCCAGGAGCTGTGTATACGCCCTCCCGGCCAAACCAGGAGGGCGTGGCGTATACACAGCTGCTGTGTTCAGGATGGGCCTGGCCAGGGAGCAGTGGATATGTATAGATTGCGTCGCCCTATCATTGTCATCCTTCTTCTTCCGCCCCTTCCTCCCCCCCCCGCGCAGGCAGGGGCTCGGAACCGCCGCCGCCCTCCTCTGCTCCTGCTGCCTGCTCGTCTGCCCCTGATGCTGGCTCGCCCGTGCGGGCCAAGCCGCCCTGCGGGGGGGTGCGGCCTGCCCCCGGCCCCTGGCCCCTGGGCGGGCTTCGTCTCTCCTCGTTCGTGCTCTTGTCCGCCTTCTCTATTGGCAGTGGCGCTCCTCTTCCTCCTCCTCCTCCTCCCCCTCCTCCTCCTCCTCCTCCTCCTCCTCCTTCTCCTCCCCCTCCTCCCCATCTCCGTCCCGTCTCCTGTCTCGGGAAGAGAGAGACCACCATCGACGTCGAGGTGGTCTGCGGAGCAATCGCCGTAACGACAACAGGCCATCAACGGTCAGAGTGGATTAGCACAGGAGGTCGAATTTCAAGAGGGACCCCTGCACTCGCTAAAAATAGAAGGTTCTCCCTGGAGCCGTAGACGCCGCTCGAAACCTGGTAAGTGAACCATCGAAGTCCTGAGGCGTGAGCCTGTGTCCACGCGCGACAACACGCTGCCAACATCGGCGTGACATTGGGAGAACGTAGGAGCAAGGCAGGGAAGCATCCAACCAGAAACGTGGCCGTCCAGTAAAGGCTGGGGGTGAATCGAAGTTCCTGGAGCACCGGCGGTCCAAGCCACCGTCCGATGGTGGGAAGCCGCCAGCAAGCAGGCAGCACGAATCCCCGAAAGCAATACGCCAACGGTCCTCCCCGAGGCTGGGGAGCCCCCGCAAGCTTCGCAAGACATGGGTAGATCCTTCCAATCTAGCTGGCAAGAAGGAGGGCATGGAGGGAGCGGCCATAATCTCCGCAAGATGCCTCTCCTGGATAAGTGTGGTGCACGCTTCCACCTGAAACTGCCACCGAGCGTGGGTGATGGAAGCCCACAGGAGGATCAGTGAAGAAGGACGTGCCATCGCGTGCCCTGCGCCCGGCGCCATGCATCCTCAGTCTCCTTCAGAACCCGGGATCAACACAGAGCGCTTGCTCCTCACGCGGAGACAGGAGCCAAAAGGCAGGAGGGACCCAAAGGGGGGGGGCGGTCCGCCAGAGGGGGGGCGGAGGGAACAGAACTAGTAGTGCCCAAAGGGCTGTGTCCGCCTGGCGCCTGGAAGCTAGTCACAGGGCTGCCGCAGCCCCTCCGCAGCAGCGGCAAACATTAGATGTTCGTTCGGGGGACCTTCCCGGGCCCACCTGACGGATCTCTTCGACTCCAGTTCGACCCCAGCTCGACTCGCGCTTGCAGTCAAGTTCGACCCAGCTTCGACTCAGCTACGACTCACTCAGACCGACGCACGTTCGACGCAGCTTCGACGCACGAGCGGAGCGAGTGCCTCCAGGCAGGCCCCCAGACTGCGCAGCCAGCTCCGGGAGCCGGCGCCCGCCCCTGCGCCGGGCGCTGGCGCGGGCACGCCGCCGCTCTCCGGGCACGCCGCCGCGCTCCGCGCGCCGGTGGCACCCTGGGCGGGGTCGGCGGCCCGTGCCTGCGCGCCTCGGGCGCACGACGTCGGAGGTTGATGGACCTCCCACCCTGACACGTCGATTGAGGAGTTGGCCGTTGTCGGTTCGCCAGGGGGCGTCGCGGCCGTCCTCTCTGCGGGTCCAGGTCCGTCGGTTTCGGTCCCGGGCCGTTTTCACTGAGGGGAGGTTTGCCAAAGGGAGGTTCGTCCACCGCCGACAAAGGGGGGCGGGAGGGGGGCCAAGCCCCGCGGGGGGCGGCCAGGGCCCAACAGTGTTCACGGGAGCATGGATCCGGTTCGGGGATGGACAGAACCCCCAACAGTGACACGTCGATTAGTGAATTGTCCGTTTTCGGTTTTCGAGAGGGCGCCGTGGCCGTTATTTTCCAGGCTTGCGCCCGCCAGGTTTGGGCCTCAGGTCGTTTTCACTAAACAACGTTTTACTAAAGGGGGGTCTGTCCATCCCCGAGGTATGGCCAGGACGTCCAGGTGAGGGCACCCGGTCAGTGGCATAGGGCCCTGGAGCCCCCGAAGTGGCCAGAGTCGCCCAGACCAGGTCTCCCGTACGCTGGTGCTTTCTCGGGTGACGGCAGCTCGGGTTAGTGCAACGGGGCGGGGGGGGGAGCCCCCAGTACACATCACTACTCCAGGCCCCACTGAACCCAGTTCTGAATGGCAGACTGCCGAGGGAGACCTGTGGCGCAGAGCTTACTCTGAGAGGCCTTGGCCATCGATGGCCCCCGTCTCCGAAAGCAGTCCTCCAGCTCGGGTGGCCGGGAGGCCATGCCCCGGCCGAGGCAGGATGCTTGGCAAGACGACCAGGCCGTTGGCAGTCCCTCAGGCAGCGCGCGCGCTGCAGCCAGGCCCCACCGCAACTTCATCATTACAGCGGCTGGCCTCGCCCCTTTTCCTACTCCTCGCTTCTCCCCCTCCCTGCTTCCTCCTCCCTCCCTTCTTCCATGCTCCGCATTCTTTCCATCACGACTCCCCTTCCTCTCGTTTCTCATCTCCCCCACTCCTTTTCTCCAATGATGTACCATGAATCCGATTCTCCTCTTTCCCTGGTTCTGAGCGGAAGATGCTCCGCACTCTCCGCGCACTGCAGTTAAGCAGCAAGATTACAACGAATTGCTGTGTGTTCCCATCGTGTGTCTGCAATCCGATTGTTCTCGGTTGTTGAACATGGTCTTCCCGCTGCGTCGGGGGCCTGTTTTCGGATCGGCGCTGTGCTTCCGTCGATCAGAATGGCGGTCTCGCCCCAGCGCGGGCCACTTTTCTGGATCTGAGTCCTTTTTCATCGTTGTCGCCCCCCTCATTTCACCTCCGCTTTTCCCTGGTCCTCCTGCTCCTTGCACTCCTTCCACTCCAATTCATGCTGCTGACGTTCGGCCTCGTTTTCCTCCTTCCTCATCCTCCCTTTCATCCTGCTCATCCTCCCGCTCACCCTCCACTCTCCTCTTCCTCTTCCTCTTCCTCCTACTCCTCCTCCTCTTCCTCCTCCTCGAGTCCAGGACGGTTATGATATTCGACCGCGGATAGAGAAGCAATGAGCAGAATGGGAAGAGATGGGAGGGAAGGATCGGATGTCAGGTACAGCGCGAGCGCACCTAGCTTGCACCCCCCCCACACCCTCTTCCATCCCCCCCCCACCCTCGTCCTTGGTTCCCTACCGCATCCCCCCAAATGCTCGCACCCGCTGTCGGACTGCTCTGAGAGCGCACCGCGTGGGAGGTGAAAAGGAGAGGTGGGGGAGGAGGAGGAGGAGGAGGAGGAGGAGGAGGAGGAGGAGGAGGAGGAGGAGGAGGAGGAGAAGGAAAAGGAGGAGGAAAAGGAGGAGGAAAAGGAGGAGGAGGAGGAGGAGGAAGAGCAGGAGGAGAAAGAGGAAGAGGAGGAGGAGGAGGAGCAGGAGGAGGAGATGAGGGAAGAGCGAAGAGGAAGGGAGAATGGGAGGGAGGGGAGGGGACGGAGGAGGGAGGGGGGAGGCGGAGGGAGGGGGGAGGAGGGGAGAGGAGGGAGCAGGAATGAGGGAGGGAGGGCGGAAGGAGGACGAGAGGTGAGGAGGAGGATGAGGAGGAGGGAGGGAGAGAGGATGGAGGATGACGATGACGGCGACAATGACGAGACCGACGACGACCACCACCACCACCGCGGGGACCCCCAGCCTCCTCGTGGTGCAAGGAAGTCGAGGATTATCCAGACACCTCGAATCCCCGATCCTCGACCCTCGGACGACGGCTGCGTCGACGACGATGACGACGGCGACGACGACAACGGCGATGGTGACGACGACAACGGCGATAACGGCGATGGTGACGACGACGACCACGGCGGCGACGACGACCACGGCGATTATGTCGGCGGCGGCGACGACCACGACGGCGGCGACGAGGCGACGCGAACCCCCAAGGAGCTCAACATCGTCCGCCGCGAGAGCACCGGCGGCTCTGGCGGCGCCCAGCAGTCCGACAACGAGACCCTGACCAAGTTCGAGATCATGGACGGGGCGCCTGTGAAGGACCAGCGCGGAGGGCAGTACAGTGCCGTTTTTAATGCATGCTCCGCGTGCGGATCATGTATTGAACATGCAGGGGTCTAGTATCACAAACAACGAGGAGTTCATGCATCAATGCATTCATATATTCATCATGTGTTAAACATCCTATATTCAAAACATCCCATGTATTGAGAACTGCCCTGCAGGAGGCGCCCACACAGAGGGTGGCGCCGAGGCGGCGGGGCGGGCCGTGGAGCTTCTTAAGGAGGCAGAAGCCATCTCAGAAGGGGCCCGGGAGGTTCCCCCGCAGGCCTCTTCAGAAGTCGCTGGGACCTTCCAGAACAAGGCCCCCTCCTCCTCCTCCTCCTCCTCCTCCTCCTCCCCTCCTCCTCCTCCTCCTCCTCCTCCTCCTCCTCCTCCTCCTCCCCCTCCTCCCCCTCCTCGCCCTCCTCCCCCTGCCTGCCAAGGCGCCCCCCCCTCGCCTTCTCAGGAGTCTGCTACCCTCGCGACACACCCCGGCGGGAGGGGGCCCGGGGGTCGGCCGCACGCAGGAGCAGCCCGTCGCTATAGAGTGAGCCACCGCCCGGCTGCACATGGGCCCCTGGCGCGCGGAGGTTGCCCACAAGGCAGAAGCCCCCACGCGCGAGGCCCCCCCAAGAAGCCCCACATGCCAGACAAATCGTTTCGGCCCGTGGTGCTCCGCTTGCCAGGGAGGGGGGTACAGCGCAGATCCAAGAAGTCATCGCGACGACGACGACGTCATCGCCATCGTTATCGTCCTCGTCACCGCCTTGGGCCAGGGCCGTGCCCCCGCAGCTGCGTGTTGCTTCGCGGATGCCACAGGCGGAGTCCATCCTCCGCGCACCGAAACCCGACACCAGCACCAAGATCCCCTCAGGGAAGGAATAGTCCATCCAGTCCTCCCAGATGGGGTCCGAGTAGATGGGGTCGGAGGATCGCGCCGCATCGCCGATGCATCGGCGATGCATCGGCGACGCGGCTCGATGTGGGGCCCAAGTCGAAGTCGCGGATGTATCGCCGACGTCGCCAGTGCATTGCCGATGCATAAACGGCATAAACATAAATTTTCGATGGTGCGCGGATTTTGGGGATCTGCGCTGGGGCTCCGTGGTGGCGCCTGAGGCGCCGCCCCTGGCGCGCTCCGCGCATCAGGGAGGGTGATCCAGCGCAGATCCAAGAAGTCCGCGCGGAGCGCCGACGGTTTATGTTTATGCCGCCTTCTGTCCCTCTAGGAAAAGGAAGAAGCCCAGAGCCTCGGTTGCGTACCTTCGTCCGTGTCTTCGCGATTGCCCGAAGCTCTTTTGTGGAGGAGAGAGGCAAGGCGCCGCGGGCCCCCCCCCCTTCCCTTCCAGTGAGCCTCATGAGGCCGATGAGCACTATGAGGCCTCCGGCCCTGCGAGCCCCACGAGCCTTGAGAGTCGGCCTTCGGGCTCCATGGAGCCTGGGATGATCAGCGGCCCTGGCGTGCCCTCGGTCAGGGAGCCTCGCTCGCCCAGCCAGCGTCCACGGAGAAGGTGCTCCCAGCTTTCCAGCGGCGCCTTGGTGCCGGCACCGACTCGTCACTGCCGGCAGTGGGGGAAAGACGTACGACAGCAACGCCAAGACCCCCACTGGAACGGAGCCCCTGAGGATGCGTGGTCACGAGAGGTCTCTGCAGGTGTGGCACAGGCCTGCTGGCCGAGAGTCCGGAGCGCCTGGCATGGGTCGCCCTGGGCCTGCCGCGGCCGTTGTGCACGGCTTTGTCGGGGAGGCTTCGGCCTCCAGCGCTCGTCGCTGGTTGCCGGGCTCGCGCGGGTGGGCCTTGTTAGCGATGCTTACCTAATTGCTTTTCACCTTTCCTCTCCTGCGATTCGGCAAACCGGACGGGCTCGGTCTGGCTCAAAACGCACTCCAAAGGCAACGGAAAAATTGGTTTGTCCGTGCTGGTCTCGACTTTCTGTCCTTCACATCCGTGCGACCGCGTATCTGCGGGAGCGCGCCCGGGAATCCAGACCGCGAGGGCGTGGACGTGGATACGGTTGCCGCCCGTGGTCTTGGCATCAGACACGACGTCAGCGCTTTTTTTGGATTTGGGTCCTTGGTGCTGGTGGACGCGGAGTACCCACAGAGAGTGGCATTCGGGCTCGCGTCCGAGGCCGTGCGGATGTTCCTGGAGCCCGCCCCCGCCCAGGGAGAGGGGGAGGAGGAGGAGGAGGAGGAGGAGGAGGAGGAGGAGGAGGAGGAGGAGGAGGAGGAGGCCTGGGCACTATCAGACACAAGCGGCCCAGGAACAGAGAGGCCACCTGCGGGCATGCAGGTGGAGCGCTCTTCCGTGGCCCCCTCGGCGCGGCCGAGGGCAAGAGACGGACGTCGGCGCTGCTCCTGGATGTGGGCCCCGCGGGGGCCCGCATGGGGCCCGAGCGCTGTCCGACACGGACGGCCCAGGAAGACTAAACGCCAAGGATGTCTCAAAACGTGCTCGGCTTGGTCTCCTCTTGATCATCTCTTACTTCGAGATTATGCTGAGGTCTGGTGGGCTACTTTGATTATCTCCCCCTGGACCCCGAACTTTATTATCCCCTAGTGCTTATTCTCGTGAGCATGGGGTTATCGGGGGCGGAAAAGAGGGGGGTGATGACTAGGGGGGGTGATATCATGGCGGGGGCCATGGTATTTCCCCAGATATCACGGCGCCTCTTCTTGTTTCGTTACGTCCCTGGCCCCCCCGCTGGGCCGCGCACATACCGCCGGTCATGATTTGCACCCCCCCCTCTTGGACACCCCCCTCTTGGCCGCTCCCGAAGATAGCAGCCACCTCCGGGCACGCAGTGGAGCTCTCCGGTGGCCCACGACGCGGGCGAGAGCACGCCTCGTGTCGGAAGCACGTGCTCGTGGGTCCTCCTCCTTCTCAGAGGAGCAAGGCTGACAATTTCTCAAAGTAGGATTGTTTTTTTTTGTTCGTTGGTCAGTTTTGTCCGACGCACCTGCCGAATTACGGTCGGGAGCTGTAGGACAGCGTGTCGCGCCGCCGGTTCTGGCCTACCGCGCTTCGCCGCGATACGCTATCCACTTCGCGGTCCCCAGGCGTCGACGTCTCAAGTCTTCCCGAGCATCCTGCCCCGCGAAGCGGAACAACACGCCATCCAGTATCAAGGCATAGCGTGTCGCCAGGGCCGCCGCGGCGATACGCCATGCAACAGTTCCCGACCGTATGATTGTTTTTTTGTTGGGCACTTCTTGCCGACGCCCCTACCGAATCAAGAAGGTTGGCGTTGCATATTTCGTCCGCGCCGAAAGATGCCACCAAGGCCCCGCTAAACAGATGTTATTCTTCAGCGTGTGTAGAACGCGCAGCGCCTCCTCCACATGAATGAGAGTCGAAATCCAAGGTCCGCTTCCAGGGCATTTTGGCGCGAGCTTGCGGCAAACAAGAACTTGTCAGGAAACATGATCATGATACGTTTCCAGGTGTCCAAGGTTTCCAGGATGTCGAATAGTATCCTGCCGTTCCCCATCTCTCCCCTCCCTCTCTCCCTTCCGTGTCGCTCCGCCACCACACAGAGTGAAGGACCAGTGCATCCCGGTTCGGCTCTACATGAGCGGGTTCGACCTGACGCCCACGTACAAGAACGTCCAGAACAAGTTCTCCGTCAAGTACATGCTGAACCTCGTGCTGATAGACGAGGAGGACCGGAGATACTTCAAGCAGCAGGAGATCTTCCTTTGGCGGAAGAAGATCGGGTAGTCCCGCGTGCGCGCAGTGCCTGGCGCGCCCGCTGATTGCGCCAGGCTTGGGCCAGCGTCGCCGGACCACGGTGTGGAGTGCAGACCATTGGATCGCTTGCTGCTGGCGATGTACGGTGCGCTTGCCGCGTCTCTTTAGAGGGACCATTGCTCAGTCTGGTCGGGGAGACGTTTGGGTCCGCTGTTATCTCCTCGGTGCAAGGCGAGTTGGCGTACAGATGGCTCCTGAGCCGGTCCCCCGTTTCTACCGCGCGCGCTTCTTGCTCATATTGTGTTTTTGCCGTGTGCGCAACTATGCCAAGTCGGATCTCGATTCGGCATGTCAGTTCTGGAGTTCTCAGAGAATTATGGGCTGTGAGGCGAGGGCTTTGCAGCGTACCGTAGATGTGCGTTCTCCGTGGAACACAAAACTGTTTTGCAGCGGCTTGCCGAGAAAACATGCGAGCCGACATGTTCAAGCGGCTCGGAATAGTTTTGCCGCAACGTGTCTCCTGTTGCATTGCCGCGCGAATTCGCCACCGCGCTTAGGCGGGCGCCTGCCAGGGGTCATTCCGACCCCGCCGGCCCGATTCAATTTGATTTCCCCGGCTGCCGATCCGAACCGATTCGATGTGAAGATGCCGATTCGTGATTCCGCTTTCGAGTTCGCTCGATCCGACTCCTGCCGATTCGCTGTGTCAGCCGATTTCTGCCGAGTGGCCGATGAAGAGCGAAGGCCGTACTGTGGTCCACGCGGTTGCACGTCCAGGCCCCGTCGGGGCCCCGATCGTCAGCCCGAACCTTCCCCCCCTTCACCAGGCTGGGGAGGGAAGGGTTGGGGGGGCGCCTAGGAGGGTACGTGCCATGTAACGTCCCATCCGGACTTTGGACCTTGTCATTCTTTCAGATACATTCGCAAAACGGCGACTGGATGTTGGGCTCGATGCTTCGGGGGAGAGGGGGGCGAATTATTGTTTCGCACGCAGAGGGGATAACGAAAAACAATGGCCCGACACCTTCTGAGGCAAGCGCGGTGACGGACAGTCGCTTGAAGTGGGCATGGCACGTATGCAGATTTCACAGAAGTGGCGAGGCATGTGAGGGACACTGTGTAAAGTTGAACGCATCCAGTGAACCCGATAATCAGGTTGCAAGTCACACGCGGAACAGCATTCGTCAGTCATGAACGCACCTCCCTGAAGGATACGCAATTTCAGCGTGCACCGACCGAAGCACATGCGAAGCAAGGCTATGAATGTGCGCTGAGGAGATTGACAAACAACAGAGGGATAAGCTCTTCCGCGCCCGTGCCGTCATTCTTCTCATGTGTGCAGCAGCTCATGCTTAGATACGTCTACGGTCTATGGTCAGACATGGTTGCTTAGCGTTTGGCGCCGCCGGTTCTGGCCCACCACGCTTCGGCGCGACACGCTAGCCACGTCCTGGTCCCCGAGCGTCAACAACCCAAGCGTTTCCGAACTTCCCGCGCCGCGGAGCGGGGCAACACGCCATCAGCTCGCACGGCATAGCGTGTCGCTGGGGCCGCCGGCATACGTGACAGAGGTGGCAGTGTTCTTCAAGTGCGCCGTGTATGGTCACTTGAGCGTCGGACCGCTCATTGTGTGAGAAGTTATCCGGGTCACTGCCGCAGCCGCGTGCCTCCTGGCTGAGGCACGCAGACACGGCACTCGAATTCAACTACGGCAGCCTTGGGTGTAGGACCGACGCGCGCCGCTTCTGAACATGTCACATCGGAGCGAAAGCTCATGACGGGGGCGTGCCGTCTTGGCAAATGCATGAGGCATGCAGGCACTCCCTCTCGTTCTTAAGTTTGCTCGACTGCCCAGCAGGTCTAGGTCTCTCGGTTCTTCGTTCGATTGTTCCATCCCTCCCTGAGCTAATAGTGCGTCGGGCCCACCATGGTATGATGCTTAATCCTGCGCGTTCCTGGCGGGATATGGCCAAGAGGAGCCGAAGGCCAGGAGGACTCCAGAAAGGCAGATGCCTGCCCCGCGACGCGCGGTGTCTCGTTGCCCCTCCCTGTCTACTTCCATGATGTCTCTGTGGGGAGTGTTCGTGAAATGGGGCGGGAGCAGGGGCCGTGCGACTTTGTCGAAGCAAGCTTGGGATCTCGTGGCGGGGAGGTCCGCCTGCGCAGAGGCGGTGCGGCCACGCTGCGGGGATGCCCGAGCAGCACCGCCTCAGCCCGCGCGAGAGGCGCAGCGGAGGCTGGCGGAGGCGTCGCGTGCACGGCAGGTGCGGCCGCTGGCGACAGCGCGCGGCTCTCTGCGAGGTGGCTGATCGCAGCCTGGCGCAGGCAAGCGGCGCCTGCCCCTCCAAAGACGTTGGGACCCATTCGGTCTGCGAGCAGCTGCCTTGCGATTCAGCCGCGCGCGATCGTTTGAGTCGCAACCGCTCCCGAGGGAGGAGGAGGAGGAGGTTGAGGAGGAGGAGGAGGAGAAGGAGCTCGCAAGGCAGCGAATTTGGCCCAAGCCACTTGTTTTTTTTCGTCGCGGCAGGCAGCAGCCTCTTCGCTCCCCCCAGCTGCTGCCAGACCACTCGGCCGCCATGTCCACTCCCGAGGGAGAGTCGTACGCGTGGCAGCCCGCCATGGGCGCTCAGCCGTCCTCAAGGGCCGGGGGAGTCCCAACGGCAGCCAGACAGACCCCTCACGGCCAGACGTGGAAGCGGGGCATGCCCAGAGGACCGACGTTGCGTTGAAACCACTACAAAATGTGGCGGCCGGCTTCTCGAAGTCTTGGGAGGAACTGTGTATCCAGGTTCCAGGAAGGTATTATATCATAGCATGGAGGGGACGGGGTGCCGCTGCAGGGCCCGAAAGGGAGCCTGGGCTTTACGCAGGTCGGGACTCACTTGCGCGCTTTTTCAGCCCAGCGCTGTGTGAAAATGCGGCGCCAGAGGGGGGTGTCTTGGGGGAGAGGGCGGGGGGAAAGCTAGGTGCGCCCGCGCCATATCTGTCACCCTGCCCCTACCACCCATCCCTTCACATTTCGCTGCGTCTTCTCTATCCGCCAAAGCGTGTCATAGCGGACCTGGAATTCCAAAGAGGAACCCATCGTGTTATGCGCAGCAGGAAAAACGGAGCTGCATACATAGGGGGAAGAGAAGGAGGAGGAGGAGGAGGAGGAGGAGGAGGAGGAGGAGGAGGAGGAGGAGGAGGAGGAGGAGGAGGTGGCGGATGAGCAAGAGAATGAGCAGGAGAAAGGAGGAGGAAGAGGAGGAGGCGGAGGAGAAGGAGGACTCCATGTGGAGTGGACGGTTCCCCACGGGACCCCAGTGCACCATCCGAAAAAAAGTGTGGCACATCACGTGGGGCCTTCCAAGAAGAGCCTTGCCTTCGTGGATCGATGGAGTTGTCATCTCTTCCCGGGCGGAAGGCGGCGGAAAGTCGGCGGCTCCGCCGGTTCTGGCCCAACTAGTTTCGGCGCGACACGCTGTCCACATCCTGGTCACCAGGCGCCCCCCTTCCGAGCTTTCCCGAGCCTCCCGCCCCGTGGAGCGGAGATGCACGGCATCCGTTCGCAGGGCACGGCGCGTCGCGGGGGGTCGCCGCGGCGGCGCGCTGTGCAAGAGCCCCTGGCCGCAGGTCGTGGGAGGGGGGGAGACGCCATGCAAGTCAGCGTGCCCGAGTCTCACTTGCAACGCCCTCCTGAGAGCCCGCGCCTTCGGCGCCCCGCCCTCGCGGCACCTGGGCCAGAGAGCGGCGCCGCTCTCCAGGGTCGAGGGCGCCCGTGGGAGCGCACTCTTTTCCAGACCTTGGCGAGTCTACTTGCACGGCGTTTCCCCCCCCCCCCCTTCCCCCCCTCCTCCCCCGCGTTTCCAAACAGCTCTGGGCCGAGAAGGCGTGCAAGTGAGCCCCGATGTGCGTGCAGTGCAGACTTCTGTTCGGGCCTCCCCACCCCTCTGCCCCCGCCCTCCCCCTCCATGCAAAGTAAACCTGCCAGAAACTAAAGAGCAACTGGCACTGGAGGGGTTCGGTGGCGCGCACCAGTGTCAGGGGCGACTTTGCGGGGCCTCTCGGGATGTTTCGATGTTCCCGGCGGTGTTTCAGCTCGGGATGTTTTCTGGCAGTTGCGCCTCGCCGAGGGGTCATCCAGGGTGTGCTGGGGATCGCATCCCAAAGGCCGCCGGAGAGCCGAGTTGTGGTCCGAAGGGCAAGGGGCAACGACGTGTGGTGGGGGGGTATACGCTTAGAGGCGGTTGCATAGGCCCCCAATCTCGAGCAGTGGCGAGGCGTCCTGGCTCGCCTCGAGTCTCAGCAACAGATGTTATGATGACCTTTTGCATTGTTTTGACAAATCGTCTTTAGAGTCTAATGGTAATTCATGTTGTTGCAGGTCGATAGGAATGACAGGACGGTCGGTCCTTGCTCAGCAATCGCCCATGCATCACCGATGGGAGCCCAATAACCCCGCCCTGCCCAGGAAGGCGCGCATGCGCAATCGTGGGCCCATCGCCGATCCATCGGCGATGTAGCGCCCACTTCAGGTCGCTGGTTGCGCCCCTTGAGGCGATCTCCTCCTCGAACGTCGCCCCTTACCTCCAGGCTGGGCGTCCGTGGGGGCCGGCGATGGGCGCAAGGAGTGGCGCGATGGGGGTGGCCTTCTGAGTTCAGGAGGGAAAAAAACACCCAGACACAATGTCGACGCCCAGGCAAATAATCTGGGAAACTATGGGAAGTGGGAGGGGAAAACGAATCCCCAGAAAGAATTGGAAACTGTTGGGAATCATGGGTTTGGGTGTCTATTTATTTGTGTGTCCCTGGGCCCATTTATGAGTTCCCTCTGGCCCCACCTCTGGCCCTATCCCACCTTTCCGAACATGCGTCCAGGAGGGAGGTGGCGGTGCGGCTCGCGGGCGCGAGGTTGGTCGCGTTTTCCGCACGGGGCGGCCTGATGGCCCACAGCCCTCGACAGAGATTCCGACCTCGGACCGAGGCCCCTCCGATTGGATTTTGTTCCTGCCGCGGCCCCAGGATTCCGGATCCCTTCCCTCCAGGCTTCCTGCATGGGGTCCGAGTAGATGGGGTCGGAGGATCGCGCCGCATCGGCGATTCATCGGCGCTGCGGCTCGATGTGGAGCCCGATTTTCTCCACGATGGCGTCGCCGAAGCATCGCCGACGTCGCCGATGCATCGCCGATGCATCGCCGATGTATCGGCGATGCGGCGCGATCCTCCGACCCCAACTACTCCGACCCCATCTAGGAGGCATCTCTTCCCCGAGAGTGGGTTTGCGCCCCGTCTTCAGTGGTTCCCAGGGCCCGGTGGCGGGCCCGGCAGGCCAGACTCGAGGACCACATCGGGGAGCGACACAGGCATCTCCTCGGAGGTCGGGTGAAGTGGCCTGCGCGGCTGAGATGGGCAGCACCCTGCAGTTGCGGACGAGAGTGAGGGGGCGGCGGGGACGTCAGCAGTCTGCGAGGCGCTGAAGAAGCCCGCCACAGGCACCGAATTGTTGACAAATCATGTAACGATCTCGCCACAGGCGCCGATTTTCTCGTTAGAGCAAAGTGGAGCGGGGTGGGTCGCGGGTGGGTCGCTGCCCTGTGCGCGCGTTTGCGCCTGCGATGTGATTGTTGGCGCCCCTTCTCCAGTGAAGCTGGCCAGCCGCACCCGCGTCGGACCGCGTCCCCCCTGGCTTGGCGCGTCGGGCCGCCAGTTCTGGCCCGGCACGCCTCGGAGCGCCGCGCTGCTCGTGTCTCCGTCCCCCAGCGTCAACGTCTCCAGCCTTCTCCGCGCGCCCGCACCGCGGAGATGATCGACGCGAACTCCGCTCGCAGGGCATGGCTCGTCGCCGGATCCGCCCCCGCGACACGCTGAGCAGCAGTCCCTGACCGTGTTTGCCACGGGATGCAGGTGGCCGCCAGGAGCCGGCCAAGCCTGAGTGGGTCTGCCTCGCTGCTGCTCGTGCAGCTCCCCCATGGCCGTTGGGGCGGCTGGACGGCCCATGGTGCCAGCCGTTTGTATTCCGGGCTGAGTCCGGCGACGTCAGCGTGAAGAACACCTTCCTCGACGGCTGGGCTGACGAGGAGCGCCGAAGAGGAAATAATTCAGGAGGGAAAAAACACACAGACACAATTAATCGTCGATTTCCCAGAAAATATGGGAAAATATGGGAAGTGGCGGGGAAGACAAAAACCCAGAAAATATAGGAAAATATGGGGAATATTTATATTTGTGTGTATTTATTTGTGTGTCCCCGTTTCCCTTCAATAATACGCAGTCGCGAAGTCTCGGATCTCCGCGCAGAGCTCCTTGGCAGAATCGGCGTGGGTGCCCCTCCTTGGCGGCGCCGCCCGGTGCCGCCCCTGGCCCGCTCCCGCGCGCCAGGCAGGGAGGTCCCGCGCAGGTCCCTCCTCCTCCTCCTCCTCCTCCTCCTCCTCCTCCTCCTCCTCCATGCGCGCAGATCTCAGACACGTTTTGTCTCTGCAGTTGTTTGTTCCTCTGGAGCGCGAGACCCTCAGAGGAGAAAAGCATGCCGATGCCGATGCCCTTTGCTCGACCTCGCACTCTGGAGCCTCCCGGGGAGCTCTCGTCACCACGGTCGATGCCGCCTCGGAGTCTGGGTCAGAACGCGCCCAGGGAGAAGCCCAAATATTTGCGGAGTCTGTATCGTCTTTCCCCCCCAGACCCATGGCGCACCCGCCAATATGATCCTCCTCCCTCCCTCCCTCCATGCTTCCCGCCAGGCGATCCAGGCTAGAGCTCGGCGAGAGTGGGGCCGCTCTGCCGTGGAACTCAGAATCGTCATGCCGCTCTCGTGGCTACGTCCACCCTCTCTTCCCTCCATGGCCAGCTGACCGACTCAGTGGCAGCGCTAGGGGGGGATCAGTTCAGGGGTTGACGCATCGACCCCCAATCGCACGTTCATCCCCGACAGTGGCCCGATAGCCCACCCCGCCTAGGAGCGCGAGGATGTACTCTCGGGGGCCTATCGCCGATCTATCGGCGATGTACTGGCGTTTCCTGGTCGATGATCCCCCCCCTAAAAGGTGGCCCCCTCTACTGCTGCCCCTTGCCGAGGTCCGAGAGGCCTTCGCGCCCCTTCCTCCTCCTCCTCCTCCTCCTCCTCCTCCTCATCCTCCTCCTCCTCCTCCTCCTCCTCCTCATCATCATCCTCTTCCTCTTGTTCCTTCTCCTCCTCCTCCTCCCCCTCCTCCTCCTCCTCCTCCTCCTCCTCCTCCCTGCCGCTCGACGAGGAGAGGATCTGGTCCAGGGACGCTCGCGGCTCGCGCTTCGGTGGGAGGGGGAGGAGGGAGGATGATGAGGAGGAGAAGGAGGAGGAGGCGGAGGACCAGTGCAGACCCAAGACTCATGAACGACATTGCATTAAAACCCTCCCTCGAAGTTCCCTCTTTGTATGTCCCAAGCAAAAAATATGTTCATTCCAGGATGTGGCCCATTAGAAGACAAGCGTCTTAGAGTCGTCAATCGTGCCAAAACGCAGTTTCTAGAATTTCAACCCCGCATGTCAACGTGACAGTTGCGTCCTGACGATCCTAAACCGTGCCAGAACACCCCTCCCAGGACTTCAAAACCGCGAATCAACGCGAATGATGCGTCCAAGCAATCTCAGATCGCGCCAGAGCGTTATTCGGGAGGCGTCGACCACGAATACTTGTGCCAGCAGCGAAGGTTTAAAACAAGTGTGCACGGCGCTAGGGCGAGAGCAACATGTTAGCAGAGGAACGGCCTCGATATTTGACACCGCCGCATCTTTGTTCAGGCGTGTGTGCGCGGCGCTAGTGCGAGAATCACATGTTGAAAAGGGCCCGCACTCCATTCTTGATGCTGCAGCAAACTGTTAAGACGAGTGTGCGCGGCGCTGAGGTGAGAGTTACATGTTGAAAAGAGCCCGCCCTCCACCCGTGAACTTGTTGCAATTTTCTAGGAAAGAGAAAGTGCGCGGCGCTGGGGCGAGAACTACATTGTGGAATTCATCCACCCTCCATCCGTGAAGTTGCTGCAAAGTGTTTCAGCAAGTGTGCGCGACGCTAAGGCGAGAGCCACCGTTTGGAAATGAGCCACCCTTCATCCGTGAACGTGTTGCAAAGTTCTGCCTTCAGAGCGATTGGCGGCGAGGAAGATTCAGGCGAAACGCCCTGCCCGCCCTACCGACACGTCTGGGGTTGCGACAGGGGGGGGGGGGGGGCATTCATGAAAAATGGGGTGGAGCAGGGGCAGGGACCAGGAGCATGGAGCAGGAGACGGAGGAGGAGGCATGAGGAGGAGGGGGGAGGAGGGGAAGGACGAGGGATGGCGAAGAAGGGATGAGGAGGAGGGATGGGGGAGGAGGGGCGGAAGGGGTCGCCACGCCCGCGGCTCGCTCTCTGGGGGTGAGTGGCGGGCGGGGGGGGAGGAAACGGGGGGGGGCAGAGGAGTATGTCTAGGAGTTGGAGGAGAAGTTGGAGGGGTTGTAGGAATCCTGGGGAATGAGGGGGGGAGGCAGGAGGATGTGGAGGACTAACGGGGAGGGGATAGGAGGAAGGAGGAGTAGGAGGAGGAGGAGTAGGAGGAGGAGGAGGAGGAGGTGGAAGAGGAGGAGGAGGAGGAGGAAGAGGAGGAGGAGGAGGAGGAGGAGGAAAAGGAGAGGGAAGAGGAGGAGGAGGATCAGGAGGAAGAGGAGAAGGAGCAGGAGGAGGAGGAGGAGGAGGAGGAGGAGGAGCGAGGGGGAGCGCGAGGAAGACGATGAGGTGGACCAGCGATACCTCCTCGCCGCTGCTCCTCTTCTTCTTCTTCTGATTCTTATTTTTCTTATTTTTTTTCTTCTTCTTCCTCTCCTCTTGCGCTCCTCGCCCCCCCCTCCCCCCACACCCCGCCAGTCCCTCCTCGCTCATCCTCGTTCATCCTGCGCTCCGCCCGCCTCGTGACTACCCTCTGCCCGCCGTCGTCCCCCCGCATCGATGCAAGGGGGGCGGGGCCAAAGCCAGCGGGAGAGACGGCGCTTGAGAGCCCACCGAGTCCCTCGCGACGGAGGGTCGAGTCATCAGAGGCATGGCTCGCATCCCCCTTGCTATTGCAGGAGCCATCCCACAGTGCTGCCAGATGCGGCGGGGAAGTGGCCTCTCGACCCACTACGGTCAGGAACTCTGGCTCAGCGTGTCGCGCCGCCGCTTCTGGCCCAACATCCTCCTCGCTCCTCCTGTTCGTTCCTCCTGCCAGAAAGCTGGATACATGGGACGCGGCCAACTTGGGCGAGAGCTGGGTACACCTGCTGCTGCATGTCTTCCCAGCGCTCGTCCCCTCTGTGGCGGGGCACGCCGGCCCCCCCTTCGCGCACATCCGGCACGCGGCCGCTGCATATATAGGAGTCCAGCCGTGTGGGGAACGCCAGGCGCTCCAGAGAGGGCCCTGGCTTCGAGGCATCGGTGGAGCTGACGTACTCCTCCTCCTCCTCCTCCTCGTCCTCCTCCTCCTCCTCCTCCTTCTCCGCCTCCTCCTCGTCCTCGTCCTCCTCCTCGTCCTCCTCCTCCTCCTCCTCCTCCTCCTCCTCCTCCTCCTGGCGGAAGAAGGCGGGAGGCCCGTAGAAGGCTGGCAGAGGTGCAACGGCGGCGGGTCCGCCACCAGAAGCGGGCGGAAGTGAGCCTGCACCTCCGGTGTGTGTAGCGTTGCTCGGGTTCAGGGGTTCTGGAAGCCGCCGTGTGTGTGTGTGTGTGCGCGTGCCTCTTCCACATCCGAGTGCTCTTCCCTCCCCCATCCCTCTGCGCGGCCGCCCTCGTCATGTTCCCTTCCTTTTGCTTGCCGGTGAATTGGCCATTCGGTTGCCCCGAATTCCCGAATTGCCACACGCTGGAGCGGGCCGCTCGCCGCTCGCCGCCGACGACGAAAAGTGTGTGTGTGCGCGTGTGTGTTTGTGCGCGTGTGTGTATGTGTGTGTGTGTGTGCGTGCGTGCGTGCGTGCGTGCGTGTGTGTGTGTGTGTGTGTTTGTCTGTGTGCGCGCGTGTTCCAGCTTCCCGGTGCGCTCGTTCCTCCGAGGATCCAGGCCTCCCCAAGCCGGGAGACGAGCAGATGGGGTCGGAGGATCGCGCCGCATCGCCGATGTGTCGGTGGTGCAGCTCGACGTGGGGCCTGCTCGTCTCCGCACCGACGTCGCCGATGCATCGCCGACGTCGCCAATGCATCGCCGGTGCATCGGCGACGTATCGGCGATGCGGCGTGGCCCTCCGACCCCATCTGCTCGGAGCCACGTGATCAGGTGCTGCCAGGGGTGGCCCAGGCCCGAGGTGGCCCCAGCCCTCCTGGGAGCATGCAGGTGGCTCTCAGAGCACCCCTCACCAGGCCCACAAGGGCCCCGGATGCTCCAGAAGAGTGGGAAAGGCTGGGCACACCTTGGGCCAGGATCACTTCGAGCAACGCCCCGTTTTGGGGGGCCTTCTGACGAGGCACGGAGTGGAGGCACCGAGGGAGGGTCAGATGAGCATCCCGCGGGGCGTCCCCATGCAGCGGCGGCGGACGGCGACGGTGTCGCGCAGCCGTGCTATTCTGCGCTCGCTCGAGGGCCACTGGGGGCCCCCAGTGCGGGGGTCGTCCGAGGGACATCCACTCCGCCTCGGCCGATCCCGGATCCCGGGTGTCGAGGCTCCAGGGCCCAGCGCAGATCGGGCGCTCGCTCCCGCCGAGGAGAGTGCCCTCGCGCGCCGCGCCGCCGCCCGCCGGCTCGCGGGCACCTGGGCCGGCCCAGCCCGGCGCGCCCCGCCGGAGCCCGAGTCGGAGCCGGAAGGCGTCGTGGCGCCGCCGCCGCGACACGCGTCGTCGCCGCGTCACGCGTCGCCACCGCCGCGGCGACGGCCCGAGGCATCTGGGGGTCGCAGAAGAGGCACGACGGAAGTCATCTGGTCGTGTTCGTCCTCTTGGGGCCCTGGCCAGACCCCGGGACCGTCAGAGCGCGACTCGGACTGACAAGCCGACCCTGGGGAAAGGGAGGAAGGGTCAGGACTTCGGGGACCCCGTGCTGAGCACATCAAGTCAGCGGTTGTCTGGGACGGCGTCGGCGGCGTCGGTGTCGTCGGTCCTTGTCGTCATCGTCGTTGTCATTATCGCCATCGTCGTCGCCGTCTTTGTTATTTTCGCCACCGTCGACGTCTGTAGCCGTTTGGACTCAAGCCATTTTGGCGGCTCTGTCAGTCCAGTGTCTGATAGAGCAATTCTGCCTGCAGGTGCCAGGTCAGAAAATATAGGAAAGAGTGGTTCGAGCTCGTCTGAACAATGGCGCCCAAGGGCACAGTTGTTGTTGTCAGCACCATGGCGGCTTTTACCACGCGCATCAGAACCTCTATGGCTGCAGATGGGGGCTTCTGCTGCTGGGCCGCAGACGACCTCACGGATTTCTGCGGCACTTGCTTGCCGATGGCCATCGCTGGGCCCACAAGTTATTGCAGCAAGTCCCAGGCCGCGTGCGGTTCGTGTGGATCGGCGACCTGGTGCGAGGAGAGCACAGAGAGTCACGAGGAGGTCAGTGCTGGAACCGAGCTAATCCTCGGCTTCGATGGCACGCAGGCGCTCGCCGAGGGCTCCGCCATCAGCCTGCGAGTTGGCGGCAAGACCTACAACGTCACCGTGGTGGACTCTAGCTTCGAGGCGTTCCCGACGCCAGCTCCCACGCCGGCCCCAACGGCCGCGGCACCCGCACCAACGCCTGCGCCGGCGCTGGTCGCGGGCACGCTGGTGCCAAACGTGGAGGCCGTGCAGCAGCACGGCAGGCTGCGCGTCCAGGGCAACACCATCGTCGGGGAGCACGGCATGCCCGTGCGCCTGCGCGGCATGTCCATGTTCTGGTCGCAGTGGATGGGCGACTACTGGAACCCCGATACCATCAGGTGGCTCAAGGAGGACTGGCACGTGTCCTTCATCCGGGCCGCCATGGGTGTCGAGCAGGGGGGCTACCTGGAGAACCCCGGCGCGGAGACGGCGAAGCTGCAGGCCGTTGTGGACGCCTGCATCGACGCGGGCATCTACGTAGTCATCGACTGGCACGCCTACCACGGCGAAGACCACGTCGAGGAGGCGAAGGCCTTCTTCGGCGAAATGGCCCAGAAGTACGGCGACAAGCCCCACGTGCTCTTCGAGACGTACAATGAGCCTCAGCAGGTCGACTGGTCGGGCGTCATCAAGCCGTACCACGAGCAGGTCGTCCCCGTGATCCGCAAGCATTCCGACAACATCATCATCTTGGGCACCAGGACAGGGTCCATTTCGACACGATCGATCCGGTACGGTATCGATTCAGGCTGGATCGATTCGACGATCCGGTGTTCCGATGTTCCCACGATCTGGTGTGGCCCGAGTCTTGTCGCGGCCGCTCCGATTCGACTGGCGCCGCTCCGATCGACCCGATCTGATCCGATCTTTCGATCCGGTGTTGACCGATCTTGCCAGGACGTGGTCGCAGGAGGTGGACGTGGCCTCGCAGGACCCGGTCCATGGCGACAACCTGGCTTACACGGTCCACTTCTACGCCGCCTCCATGGGCGCCGACCTCCGGGGGAAGGTCTCGGCTGCCCTCGCAAACGGCGCCGCCATCTTCGCGACCGAGTGGGGCACCTGCGAGTACACGGGCGATGGCCGCCTGGACCTGGAGGAGTCCCAGGCGTGGCAGGACTTCATGGAGGAGAACCACATATCGGACTCAAATTGGGCCATCAGCAACAAGGACCAGGGAATGAGTAATACAGATCTACCTATCTGTATATCCACACACTACATGCATACGCCCACACGCACACACATATACATGTATATATATACATATATATATACATAGGTATTCTTCTATATATACATATACATACACACGGGACGGGTGTGTTTGTTAGTACGTATGTTTGTTTGCATGTCTGTATGCATATTTGCATACTGTGCATATCTGCATATGGCGCCGGCACCGCTGCAGCTTCCTCGTCGCCACAGCTGGGCTCCCCTCGACGCCCTGGCCAAAGAGTACCCAGGCCGAGGCCAAGAGCTTGGAGGCATCGGTACCTGCTCTGCCCCTCCCGCAGGAGGAGTCGTGCTCCGCGCTGCGCGGCGGAGCCAGCGGGTCCGGCGGCTGGTCCGAGGGCGACCTGACGGAGTCTGGCAGCTGGGTGCGCAGGTCCATCCGGGAGTACAACTCCGACGGGCCGCTGCAGGCCAGCGTCAGCGCGGCGAGCCCAGTCGCCTCCGGGGGGCAGCTCGAGAAGGTCGTCATGAAGAAGCATGCCATGATGCGCGGCCCTGTTCGGCTCCCGGGCGGCAGCAGCGGTGAAAGGCACGCAGCCGCGCTGGCTTCGCTGGCAGCGTGTGCAGGCGTCGCGCTGGCGCTGACAGCGTGGGCAGCGCGGGCCAGGCGCGCGGCAGGGGTGGCGCGGTTCCTGGCCGTGGACAGGCAGCCCCTGGACATCCCGAGCGGTTCCGACGCCCTGCCGCAGGCTCAGTGAGCAGCTGGCCTGGCCGCACCTCTGCCAATTCACGACGGCCTGGTACTGGTTTGGCCCTGCTGGGAGGAGTGGCCTCAGCAGCTGCTGACGCCCGCATTCACTCGCTCCTCTACATCTTCGCTTGGCGTTCGGCTCTCTAGGCTGTTCGCCCTCTCTCGCCCCCTTTTCCCTCCCAGCATGTGCCACCACTCGCGGTCTCAGAGGTTGTCAAGTATCGGGTGGTCTACGCACGGCCGCCCAGGCATGCATGAAAATGTTTCGAATGTTTAAATGAAATTTGGTGCTGGACAGACAGTAGTGCACGATGAGCAAAGGCGGGCGCGTAGCTTCGGCATCCGAAGGGTGCTCTGGCCCAAACCGCTTCCTGATTTCTGTTCACCGAGCTCCCTGGTCCTAGTCTAGTGTTAGGCCACGCATCGCGCGTGCTCAGGCGGGGCAGCTTGGACAGGGCCGGCTGCCGGTTTCGAGGCGGCCTTGTCAGCAGTTGCCGCGCGGCTATTTCTTGCCCAGCCCCCCGTTCATCTCCAATCCTTCCACCCTTCTGATGCTTCCCCTCCCCCCCATCGCGTGCCCCCAGCGGGCGCCTGCGGCATGCTGGCAGCAGCCGCAAGCCTGACTTCGCTGTGGTTCGTTGCCAAGCGGGGGGGCCGGCAGCGGGCAGTTAACGATTGTTTGCACGTGCAGGATCCAACCTCTCTCCTCCTCCTTTTACGTCCCAGAATCGGATGAGCGAAAAGTATTGATAATGATCCGTTCCAAGATTTTCAGATTGCCAGAATCTCGACCCCCGGCTCCAGAAACGAGGGCCACTAAATATTCGAGAAGTCTTATAATGTGTCCTGAGCCAATCGCATGATGACATCACCCTCGTCCTACAGAGCCCCCCTTCCTGGCTGCGACGCCTGGGAGGTGAGATTCAGAATCGACGGTTGTATATCCCTGGTCGAATAATGGCCTCGTCTGGTTTCGGAATGCCGCTTCGTCCGGTTCAATCCCGCTTCATCTGGCGTAGTCTGGGGCTGAATCCAGCCAAATCTTGTTCAATGGCTTCTGAATCGGGTTGAGTAGCTTGAACGATCGTTCTGACGCAGGTCTCCGAACCTCCCCTCTTTCTTCCTGATCATCGGCGGCGGCGACCTCGCCGCGCCCTTTTTGCTGGTGCCGCAGCCTCCTTTAAGCCGGCACGAGGCCGAGCATCGCTCGCGCACCGCCGCCGCTGCTGATGTGAGACTTGCGCCTCGGAGTTCACTCGGAGCCATAAGGAGGCCCTTCCTCCTCATTTTTCCTAGTGCGGGGGGGGCTGGGTATCTCTGGAGACCTTCCCTATCTTGTACATGCCAGTATTCTCTTGTACGATAGGTGGGCTCGACGCGGATGCGACGTGGACTCGACGTGTGGGTTCGACGACACTGGCTCGACACGTCCGACATGGATTCGACACGGATGCGACACGGATGGTTGGCGCGATGGGACAGACGAGGTCCCGTGCTGATGCAACGGGAAGGAGGGGAGGCGGTGCGCGGGGGACGTGTGTCGGCAGAAGAAAAACCAGCATGCACAGAATTTCGGAGTTCACGCGGACTTCCTGGATCGGCGCCACCCTTTGCGTGCTCCGCGCGCCAGGGAGGGGGGGTCGAGCGCCGATCAGAGAAATCTGCGCGGACCTCCGAAAGTGTATGTTTATGCAGTTGTTTCGCCAGCTGATGCGAGGTAAACGCTGGAATAGTGCCTTGTCACCCGGGAGCAATCATCTAGGAGCTTGGCCCATCAGATGGGGCCGCCCGTATTCGGCGTCTTCCCCGTTCACCCTTTCCTGACACACCTCCCTTAATCACATCATCCCGTGCTGCTCTCGGCAAAGGCCAGCGCCTTCGCGCTGGCAAACGCCAGGGCGTATGTCGAATTTGTTTGTTCATTTCGCCTCTCTTTAATTCCTCGCCTCAATGCGCATAGCCATTAGAATGCGATGGAGGCCAGAAGATTTTAGTTCACAGATGTGGGGCGTGAGGGGGAACATATCACCACCGTCGCCGACGTCGTCGTCGTCGTCACTCGGCTGGGTGACCGCCCTAAATGCCAAATTTGAGGACACATTGTGTTATCGAGGCCGGAATCGAGGACAAATTTGTGTCATCGAAGGCCGACATCGAGGCCGAATTGTTCTAAGCATTACGCCACCGAACAAGTCATCTCGTCGGAGATCTTGGACCCCCTCTCCATTCCAACCTTTGCTTCCGACCATTGGCGTTTGCTGAACAGCACCGCTCTGTTCGATTCCTTCCACGGGTGCGCTTGCTAAACGGCTCCGCTTGTCGGGGTGCCTCTTGTGGGGGTGGATTTCCTGCTCTCTACGACGGGCGGCGCAAGGTCCCCCCCGCCGAAGCCGCGGGCGATCGGAGCCCCGTGTGCGCACGGCGTGCCTCCCCCCTCTCGAGTCGGACGCGCAGGGGTTGCCGCAGGCCTCGGAGGAGGCTGGCGAACTCAGCGGAGGAGCAGGTACCCACACCACTATACCCTCGCCCCGGTTTGGAGGCCCGCGTCGCCACCGCCGGATTCGCCTCGGAATCCCTGGTCAGAACACACCCCGCGGGAGAGGTCCGGGGAGTTGCGGCATCGGTACCTTTCTGTCTCTCTACGAACATTCGTGTCGCATTCCTTTGTCAATCCCCCCCCCAATGGTCCATGTTCGCGGTGGGTTGCATGAGTGGCACTTCGACCGCAGTCTTCCCCCCGCGCGCGCCAACTCAGAATCTGGGGGAGGGTGGGGGGAGAGAGAGTCCAGTGATGGTTTCCCTCTACGGTAGGGAGTGGGGGGCGGGGCGATCTCTGAGGCACGCCGTGGATTTTGGCGCCGCCGCCGCCGTGCGCTCTCCTTGATACGTTGGGAGGAGGAGGAGGAGGAGGAGGAGGAGGAGGAGGAGCAGGAGCAGGAGGAGGAGGAGGAGGAGGAGGAGGAGGAGGAGGAGGAGGAGGAGGAGGAGGAGGAGGAGGAGGAGGAGGAGGAGGAGAGGAGGAGGAGGAGGAGAGGAGGAGGAGGAGGAGGAGGAGGAGGAGGAGGAGGAGGAGGAGCAGCTGATTCGCTCACCCCGCACCCTTGCTGCACCGCCCCCTGGAGTCGACCCGGTCTCCCCATAGGCTGCACGCCCCCGTGGCGGCCGCCGACAGCCTCCCCGGACACCCGGCGCCTCGACTCCAGGAGGGGGAAAAGCACGCAGACACAATGAATCGTCGATGCTCCCCCGAAACACAGTGGGAAATAGGAGAACATGTGGGAAGCGGGGCGGGGCGGCGGGGGGGGGGGGGGGGGGGGGAAGGCGAAAACCCAGACCATGATTCTTGCAGAACCTGGGGGATCCTGGGATCCTCGTGTATTTCTCTCCGTGTGTCCCTGGGCCCCTGCACGCGACTCTTGCAGCGTGGGGTCCCCGGGAGCTCCGCTGTCCCTCTCCCGCCTCCTCCGCCTCCGCCTCCGCCCCCGCCTCCGCCTCCGCCTCCGCCTCCGCCTCTCCTCCTCCTCCTCCTCTCCTCCTCCTCCTCCTCCTCCTCCTCCTCCTCCTCCTCCTCCTCCTCCTCCTCCTCCCCCCCTCTCCTCTCCTCCTCCTCCTCCTCCTCCTCCTCCCCCTCCTCCTCCCGCGGAGCCTGCGCACACCCCGAGCCCGCCGAGGGGCGGCCCCACGGGGCGCGGCGGGGGCCCTCGGAGGCCGCAGGGGCGGCCAGCCCTCCCTCGTCGCGCCGTGGCTTCCTTTTTTCCGCGGCGCCGGCGCGGCTGGGAGGAGGGAGGCCTGCAGGGACGGAGGCGTGCACGGAGGGGGGGGGGGGGGAGGAGGCGGAGGAGGGGGAGGAGGGGGAGGGAGGAGAAGCGACAGGGAGGGAGGGAGGGGGCGAAGCGGGGGTGGGATCCACTCGGCAGGGGGGAGCGCCGAGCGCCGCAGCGCCGCCCAGGGCCCTTTCTGAAGGAGGGTGGAGCGAGGTCTCACAAACGGTGACTGCAGTACTTGCGCATGTCCGCCCTGCTCGGCGGAGACCTGCTTGAGATCCCTCCCCTGACGTCTGGCGCTCCGATTTGTCCGATGCGTGTGCCCTCGGAGGTCTGGACCACTTCCAATTGGGCCGGCTTCTCATCCTGAGTATCAATGTTTGACGTTCTTGGGAGGGCGCCCAGAGATCGAAAACAGTCCCAAACTGGCCGCTCCAATTTTCCTGGAGCATCGCTCGGATTCGAGCTAGCGTGTCCTTCGCAAAGGTAGTCTCCAAAATGTACGCAATAGCTCGTGGAATCGCTCATGCGGGATACGCACGTCGTACAATATCAACACGACGTGGCTACCACGCGCATTGCGCCACAGGATAAAGTATTGCATATGTTTTTGTTCACGACCCCATTACGAAAGACCCCCTTTGTCTGGAACCAAATCGGACCTCTGGGCTCCTTTGCCTGACGTGCAGCGCGAGTGGCAGTTCTCGGGCGGGTGGCAACGGGGGTGACCTGCACGAGGGGTGAAGAACCGGGTTCTACAAAAGGGGCCCCTTCAGAACCGGCATACATTCCTGAGTCTCCGAGATCTGTCCACCCTTCCTGGATGCTCCTCCTCCTCCTCGGAGGAGGAGGAGGAGGAGGGAGGGAGGAGGAGGAGGAGAGAGGGAGGGAGGAGGACGAGGCGGAGGAGGAGGAGGAGGAGGAGGAGGACGAGGAGGAGGAGGAGGAGGAGGAGGAGGAGGAGGAGGAGAAGCAGGGAGGGAGGGAGGGAGGGAGCTCTCCTCTCCACCCGCCGCGCAGGCCGCCCCCCCCACCGCCACCCGCCCGAGGGCCCCCCCCTCTGCCTCCCCCAGGCGGCGCGAATGCCACCTCGCCCGCTCGCCCGGGCGGCGCGCCACCGCCGGCGCCCGGGCCCGCGGGCAGGCCGCTGCCCGTGGGGAGCGGCGGCCGCCAGTCGCCACCGCCGCCACCGCCCGTCGCCGCCGTCGCCGTCGTCGGGGTTCGAGGCCTGTGTGTTTCAATCCGGGCGCTTTTCCTCGACTTGGGCTTCTGGCCCGAGGGTCTCGCCAGCTGGTCGCCAGCACGCACGCTTTCAGCAACAACATGAACTGCACCTGGCCGCGCCAAGGTACATCTAATGCATAATGCAAGACGTGCTAAACTTGGAATGGACTTCTGCGCGTGCTGGATATGCGGTTCGCGTCCTGCTTAACAAGACGCACCAGTCAATCACCATGTTTCATGCTGCACTACGCACAGATGTCAACCATCCGAACTTCAAAACCACATCGTCTAAAATGCTCCTTCGCAGCAAGAGCAACGTGCCGAAACGATGTAACAACCGACCCGTGCTTCTGATGACATCGTTGCAGAGTGGAATAGTTTGGACGAGCCCGCCATCCACCTTGTTCGCGGCCCGGTCGGATCAGATCTGTTGTCGATTGTCGAAGCGCTCCGTGTCCATGCCGCCCTTCAGTTGTGTGGATGACGGGGGCGCCTTCGACATGCTGATGAAGCATGGTGAAAAGCAGGCGGGAGCGGTTCGACGACGGCGGCGCCCGTGCGAAGCGCCCGTCTCCACAGCCGCGTCGCCCGCCCCCGCCTCCCGCAGTGACCGCGACGGCATCGTCGTGGACGTGGGTCCCGCAGGGTCCCGGGAATGAGACGCAGGCCGACAGCCAGATCGCCGCGTGGCCCCCGCTCGCCCTCGCGCCTGGCGTCACGCCTGGCGCCCTGGAGGCTACGGGATCGATCGCAGGGCTGCTTCGCGCTTCGTTGACCGAGCAGCTGCGCCAATCGCCGCGGGCGCTCCGGCATCCGCGCACGGCGCGCGGGCTGTTGGCCAGGAGGCGCACGGTGCGCCAGGCACCGCGTCCCCTCCCTCCCCGCTTCTTTCCCTCCCTCCCTCTCCGCCCCCCCTCCTCCTCTCCCTCTTGCAGATCCCCCGTCTGACCGGTCTCCCCCACTCGATTTTCAGTCCTCCTCCCGCTGCCCCCCCCCCTCACACACCCTTCTTGATCCGCGGGTCGAGAGCGCACCTCTTCCGGTCGAAGCTACCCCCCCCCTCACACAAACACAAACACAAACACAAACACAAACACAAACACACACACACACCGCTAAAGTAGAAGGCGGGGGGCGAGGAGAGGCCCCGTCCTCGGGCCAAACACATGCCAGCTCGCTGAACTTCGCCCTGGGCAGCGCCGCTGGACGGCGCAATTGTGACCGCCGAGGGGTGGGGGGAGTTCGATGAGATAGATGGGAGTCCTGCCTGCGCCCCCGCCCCCCCCCGTCAGGGAGGTCACCATGAAACCCCGAACCCACAGGTCCGGGCATGCCCTTCTGTGGTGTCGTGCGTGTCCGGTCCTGTGGGATGTGGCGTTCATGGTACCCCCCTGGCGGGCGACCGTGTTGCTATTCCCTGTGGCGCGCCGTGCTGGGCATGGCTGCAGATATGCAGATTCTAAGCATGCCTACCCTCGAGTACTTTCGCGGTTGTTTCTTTATTCATGTGTTCTTCTCTCTCCCTCTCTCCCTCTCTACCCTTAATTCCCCTCATTGTAGTGGAGGGGGATCCCTTGGATGCCCCTGGGGCGCTACTGAGGCTGGGCCCTGAAAGGCCCGGCGCCCAGCCCCATGATGCCCTGGGCCTTTTCAGGGCTCGAGGCCCATAAGGCTCGTAAGGGTCCGAGTCTCTGAGTCCAAAAGGAACTCTGAGCCCGAGTGCCCCCCCATCCCCCCCAGGGCACTCCTGGGGCTGGGTCCTGGAAGGCCCAGGGCCCAACCCTACTGGGCCATGAGCCTTAGAAGGTCCATGACCCATCAGACTCGCAAAGGTCAGAGACTCCAGGAGGGGCTCTAAGCCTTGAGGACCCCTGAGGCACTCCTGGGGCTGGGCCCTGAAAGGCCCTTATGCTAGCCCTATGAGACCCTGGCCTCTGCAGGTCTCAAGGTCCACGGGGCTCGCGGGGGTCACGCAGGCCTCGGAATACATTTGCGCACACGAATGCCCCCCCAATGACCAATGTTGGCGGCGGGTTGAATGAGTTGCACTTCGACCGCAGTCTGCCCGCGCGGCGTGCCAACTTTGAATTTGGGAGAGAGGGGGGAGTGTCCACTAACTGTTTCCCTCCACCGTCGCCTCCAAAGGGGACTGAGCCCGCGCGGCCTGTGGATGGCCAAGATGGCCCACATAAGAGCCGAGTGGCTTCGCAACGGGGCGTAACATGTCCCGAGGGACCCCCGAATGGCCGAAGGAGCCGCGAGACCCGCCTCCCCAGACCAGCCAACCACGGCCTCGAGGCAGGACGAGGCCCAGACGGCCCGAAGATGGCCCAGGCAGCAGAGAGATGTCCGCCCAGACGGCCTGCCAACGCCTTCGCACCCCCCTGGCGGGCGACCCTGTTGCGTGCCCTGGTGATCGCAGAGCGGTCGCCGATGACAGCTTCGAGCACAACCAGGAGCTCACCTGGTGGGGCGATGTTTCCTCGCCGTGCATCCCAGGCGGCGTTTTTCTCTCCGATGGTCAAACCATGGTGGTCTTTGGCGTGACCTGTTTTTCTTCCCCGTCAAGGACCCATCCTCACCATCATCTCTCCTCCGCCTCCTCATCCATTCTCGCCCCTCCCCATCCTCTCCACCATATCTCCACATCCATGTTCCCCTCCTCTCCCAAGAACCTGCGAGAACATACGACCGCTGGGAAGTGATGGATTGAATCGTGCGCGAAGTATGCGACTCGGGACATAAGGAGTACCCGGGCCCTGGCTTCCTACTTGAGTTCCCCTATTCGCCCCCCCCCCACCTGCAATGCGCCCGCCTCCCCACAGGTACCGTCACTATCGGGCCCCTCACTCGTTGGTTCTCGCATGCTGACTTTCGGTTTGCGTGCCGATTCCTTATTCGACTCGCTGGTTTCATACATCATATGGTACGCGTGTTGAATTCATGACCTCGTGTCTCTTTGGTGCATGATCACCTATATTGGCTGATTTGAAATATTGTTGTTAAACCTGCTCTATATTAGGGTACGCGTTGAGTTTCAGCTCGCCGAGCCCTCAAAGCGGGGCCCATCATTGGGCCCCGGGACCATCAAAATTGGATCTGGGCCGCAAAATCGATCTGGGCCATCAAAATTGGATCTGGGCCATCAAAATTGGGAGCATCAAAATTGGACACGCCGAGGGAAGTGGTCGTGACTTGTGGGAGCGCGGTTTTTCTATTATCTACATAATATCGGAGGATGTCTGTGTCGTCGAGGTTCGAGATTCTCATGCGGCGGCAAGCCCGGGGGGGAATGCAGAGGGGGCGGGCCTGCGCAGAAGGCTCGGAGGGCCTACGGCTTCGCGGAAGTGTTCAGGCCTTCTTCACAGAAGATGCAGGCCGCCTCTCAGAAGGCTGGGGGATTTTTGAGAGGCTTCGCCGCCGTTGAGAAGGCCTGCCCCTCTCACTTCCCCCCATGGCGCTCGCCGCCACTAGGGCTCCGTCGTCGGTCGCCAGTCGCCGCCGTCGCCTGCGGTCGGTCCCCGCCGTCGCCGTCGTCGAGGCTTCAAGTCTTCCTGTTCTGCGGTCGAAGAAGTTGGCTTAGCTCGTCGCGCCGCCGGTTCTGGCGCATCCAGAGAGGAGAAGGAGGAGGAGGAGGAGGAGGAGGAGGAGGAGGAGGAGGAGGAGAGGAGGAGGAGGGGAGGAGGAGGAGGAGGAGGAGGAGGAGGAGGAGGAGGAGGAGGAGGAGGAGGAGGAGGAGGAGGAGGAGGGAGGAGGAGGAGGAGGAGGAGGAGGGAGGAGGAGGAGGAGGAGGAGGAGGAGGAGGAGGCACGAAGCGCCATCCACACCTTGGTCCCCCAGGCGCCCGCGCCCCGACTTTCTCCCGGCCTCCCGCCCCGCGGGCCCGAGCGACACGCTATACCATCTCGCAAGGCATATTTCGCATCGCGGGGGCCGCGGTCGCGACACGCGGAGCAAGCCATCCCAACCGTAGGCTTCCCATACTTGGTCTTGGGCGATGTGGTCGGATGATCGCGCCACATCGCCGATGTTGCGCAAGCCTCCGGCCCACTCTATTCGGGCCCCATATGGGAGGCCTCTACATACGCGTTCGTCGGTTCTCGGCGGTCTTCCATCCTCTGGAGGCGCTCCAGCACGTGCGCCTCGCCGAGAGCGTCCCAGGTGTGCCGCGATCCGTCCCGAACGGCTGCCAGAGACCCGGGGTATGACCCGAAAGCCAAACGAAATGGGTCAAGTGAAGGGACGTGGTTGTATTCATCGTCGTGGGGGCTTGCGTTGGTTTCGTCGTCGTCAGCGCTTGCAAAAAGGAACGGAGACCGATACTGCTACCTTTCCCGTCGTCGCCACGGCTCGATTCGTTTCGAGACTGTGGTCAGAGAGCGCCCCTGGAGATGTCTGGTGAGTCCCCCCACTGCCGCCGTCGTCGCTGGAATTGGCGTCGCCGTCCGGGTCGTCGTCGTCGTTGGCGTCGGCGCCGCCGTTGTCGTTGACGTCGGCGTCTTTGTCGTCGTTTGCGTCGTCGCCGTCGTCGCCGTCGTCACCGTCGTCGTGGTCGGGGCTGGCGTCGGCGTCGTCGTCGTGGTAGTCTTCGTCGGCGTCGTCGGCATCGTCGTCGGCGTCGCCGCCGCAGTCGTAGTCGTCGTCGTCGTCGTCGTCGTCGTCGTCGTCGTCGTCGTCGTCGTCGTCGTCGTCGTCGTCGTCGCCGTCGTCGTCGTCGTCGTCGTCGTCGTCGTCGTCGTCGTCGTCGTCGTCGTCGTCGTCGTCGTCCCGCCGCCGTCCTGCGGGCGCCGCCGGCAGGCCGCCGACGCCGACCGCCCGCGACGCCCCTCCTGCCGTGCCAGTGGCTCTGAGCTCCAATTTCGAGGAGGCTGGAGCCGTGGGAGGCGCGGTGGTCCAGGAAGCGGCGGCCCGAGAAAGCGCGCGAGGCGGGGCCTTGGGTCCAAGGGGAGGGGGAGGCTTGTGCTCAGATCCAAACGGCGAGCACAGATGGGGCATGTCTGCCAGGGGCGTTTGCCGCGCATGGCTCGGGCCAGGGGTTGCGTGTTCCATGGGTTGCGCCACAGGTTGCGTCATCAAGGGTTGCGCCATGGGGTGCGCCATCCATGGGTTGTGGCCTTAGGTACTGGTTCAGCCATCCACACCTTCCGCCATGGGTTGACTCATCCATCCATGTGATGCGCCATACGTTGCACCGTTGGCTGCGCAGTAGGTTGCGCTACCCGCGGGGTGCGTCATGGGTTGCGCGCGCTCTGCTGCCGAAGCCCAACAGGCCTGCTTTCGCTTGCGCCATGGTTGCGCACTCGGAGGCCCAGAGAAGAACAGCTGGTTTTTGCTTGCGCCAAAGATTGCGCACTCGATTGCCGAGGCTAGAGATGCTTGCGATCGGTTGCTCCATCGACTGCGAACTCCGCAGTCGAGAGTAGAACGGTGTGCGACTGGTTGCGCCACAGGTTGCGCATTTCGCGGCCGAGAATACAACGGCGTGCTATGAGCTTCGCCACCGGCTGCGAACTCGGCGGCTGATTCTAAGACCGCCTGCTTGTGGCCATGCCATAGGCATTTCTCGGCGGCCGACAATATAGAACAGTCTGCTATCGGCTGCGCCACAGTGGTCGCACGCGGCGGCCGATGATGGCACGTCCTGCCCTCGGCTGTGCCACAGGGTGCGCAGTCGGCGGCCGAGAACGGAACGGCCCGCCGAGAACACAGCGTCCCGAGCTCTCCCCTCCCCCCCGCCCCACGGGGCGGAGCGACGCCTGCCAGCTCGCAGGGCGCGGCGCGTCGCAGGGGCCGCCGGCCGCGGCACGCCGAGCGAAGCCTGGCCGCACCGGGGCCCTCACGGCTCGACCTTTTGAGCCTCCCCCTCGGCGCTGGCTGGACCTGTCGGGGGAGCCAACGGGGGGCCGGAGGAGGCGGAGGTGGAGGGTTTCTCCCAAGGGCTTAGGCGACCCGTTCTCCCCCCTCCTCCTCCTCCTCCTCCTCCTCCTTCCTCCTCCTCCTCCTCCTCCTCCTCCTCCTCCTCCTCCTCCTCCTCCTCCTCCTCCTCCTCGGGTCGCCTACGGCCCCGGGGGAAACCGTGCAGGTGGAGGAGCCCTCGGGCGTGGGTGTCCGGCAGGGCGTTGGGGCCCCGCGCGCCAGACTCGAGTGCACCTTAAGCGGTGCGGCGACCGCACCGCCCGGTGAGCCAGCGGGGATCCGGGGCCGTTCTCCGAGGGCGTCTCGGCCCAGCGGGGCCTCCAGGGTCCCAAAACGGTGCGGTGGCGCACCGTGCGGTGAGGTCTAGGGATTGGGAGCTTACCGCACTGTCCGTCGCCGCACCGTCGTGGGAGCTCCAACAGATCTGGGGGCGCCCTCTGGTCCTGGCGTCGAAGAAGGGTGGTCGGGGGTTGCTGAGGGTGTCCCCGGCCCAGGGTGTCCCCAGCACCGCGCTGCACTCTAGAGCTTGGTCGGGGCGTGTGGGCCTCCAAAACTCCTGGGGGCACCTCGGACCAGGGGTGGCGGCATGAACACAAACTTTCGGAGGTCCGCGCGGGTGTCTTCTCGGTGTCGGCGCAGGGGCGCTTCGGGTGGGCGGCGCCGGAGACGCGCCAATCAAAGAAGTCCGCGCCGAGCTCGGGGAGTGCCCTGCTCCTGCTGGCGGGCCCTCCCGCCAGGCTCCGAGGCAGGTGGGCCGAGGGGCGCGAGCCCAGTCGCCCTCCGGCGAGAGAGCAGCAGGTGCACCAGCCAGCCCCGGCGACCGACTGCGAACTCGACCCTTGCGGGTCCGACAGGCGCTGGAGGATATCGGTCACCCGCGTTTGGGGCTGGTTTGGCTGCAGATGTCTTTCGGTTTTCTGAGCCCCGGCCAGCGCTTCAGGAATCTGACCCGCGGGGGTAGGGCTCGCACGTGGTCGCCTGCCTGCCTGGGCGACCTCCCGGTTTCCTCCTGTGGCCGTCCCCCCCCCCTGGTTAAGGGATTAACGCTTCTTGCTGTCCCTCGACTCGCGCTGGAGCCTCACGATTTGTCCCAGATTTGTTTTAATGCGTCTAGAGCTACCTCGAACCATGTAGGCTTACATCGACGAGGGTCGGAGATGCAAGGGGTGGTGGGCCTTCAGAATTTTCGCTTCGCAAACGCAGGCCCGCGGGCGCGCCTTCGGCGCGAGGCCCAACAATCGGGCAATGAAGCTCAGCTGTTGAACTTCCTGGCGCGTTTCAGTCGTAATGGCGCGCTTCGGACGCGAGGACGCGCGCCTTGCGTGGATGTGATCCCGCCCATGGAACGTTAAAAGCCAAACCATTTTACCATCCGGGCGTCATTATCATCATCGTCATCATGATCATCGCCAAAATCAGCATCTTCGTGTGTAGTTGCCCGATCATGGGACGAGTGCGCGCGCGTGCGCACGTCTGTACCGGGCCAGACAACAGGCATGCATCCGAACGCGCCCCGCGTCGCCGAGGGCGCCCTCTCGGACAGGAGTCTGCGCGTTCCCTCCACGACTGTGCCCGCACAGGGGGGGCTCAGTCGTTCGCGGCGCTAGAGGCCGCTAGAGCGACGACGATGACGACGCCGACGACAACGACGCCGCCGACGATGACGACGATGGTGACGTCGGCGATGGCGACGGCGACGACGATGTCTGGGCCTCCCGAGGTTCCCCTCGAGGTTTCCCTGGCATGTTTTTACAGGTGTCGGAGGCCCACGAAGGTCCATCGTGGTTTCCGGGAGATTCCGGAGGCTTCTCTGGAGGCTGCCAGCGACGACGACGGCGACGGCCACGGCGACAGTGCCGACGAGGCCGCCATGGCCCTCCCCCCCAGAGGTCTCCCCGGCGTCTTTTTCGACGTCCTCGAGGTCCCCGGAGGTTTCGTCGAGGCTCAAGAATTCGCCCGCTGATTTCGCGGATTCTCACAAATTCTGAAGGATGTTGTTGGATTTCCGGCGGAGCCAGGCGGATTCTCGTGGATTATGTTGCGTTTCTAACAAGGGTTCTCGGCGCATTCCGCGGATTCTTGCGGATTCTCGCGGGCCCTCGCGGGCTCAGCTTTGTCGCGCGCCGCTCTCGGGCCGCGCGCGCGCATAAAGGCCGCGGGGGCAGCGGGCGGCGATGACCGTGACCGCCCGCGCGCTCCTGCAGGCCATTGTGTCCGCCTGTGGGCGCGGGGCTGTGCCTGCTGTCGTTGCACCAGGCGCGTGCGATCGCTCGTGGCCGCCTGGCGATGCCAGTCGGTGCCTCCGCGCCTGCGAGCGCCTTCCCGGCAGGGCCTCTGAGCGCGCTCGCGCGCCTGAGAGTACCCGCGCGCTATACCGCCTGTGGGCGCATGTGAGCAACCGCCTGGATGCGGGGTTCGGCCGTCGTTGCCGGGCGTCTGATGGTTACAATGACTTTCCATGTGTCCTCCCATGGCCTCCAATGGCCTCCCGCCCCGCTGGCCTTGGGCGCCTGGGTCGGCCGTTGCTGCTGGATCCCCGTGGCAGAGTGCATTATCCAGTGGCCGTTTGTTGGTGTGCCTTCGCTGGCGCTTCTCCCGCCGCGGATTTGACCCCGTGGATTCGGATGGCTTCGCGCGCATTATTCCGATAATTTGTCGTTTTGGGTAAGTGCTCCGGCTTTAAATTTTCAAAAGCGAACTAAATGAAAACCAGCCCCGCGCCAGAAGAATCGAAAGTGTGAAACCAGGTCGAATACCAGCTTTTGGCGAGCAGCACAAGTCCATGTCGCCGTGTTGGCGCAAATCGTCGCTGGCAACCCATCTGGTTTTGCCGGGGGGCCCGGCACCCCCCGCAACTCCGACTTTCATGAAGGACTGACCTGGATGCGCTAGCCAGCGCCCACTCCAAACAGTGCGATATTGCACTGCGGAGGTGGAAACTATGCAGTGGAAGACCACTTTGACTGTCTTGAAGCTGTCCTCTCCACTGCTCGTGCAAACATCCCACCCACCCACCCGCAACTTGGTTTGCAAAACCTCTTAAAACCGACTACGACGGCACCGACGACAACGACTAGGACGACACCGACGACGTTTCCGACGACTTCGACGACGACAACGACGCCGACGACGACGAAGACGACGACGACGACGCCAACGAGGGCGACGACGAGGGAGGAGGAAGGACGACGACGGCGACAACGACGACAACGACGACAACGACGAGAGAGGAGGGAGGGCGGCGACGACGCGAACGACGACGAAGGAGGAAGGACGGCGACGCCGACGACGACAACGACGAGGGAGGAGGGAAGACGACGACGACAACGACGACGACGACGGCGACGAAATAGGAGGGACGACGACGAGACGCCGACGACGGACGACGACGAGACGCCGACGACGGACGACGTCGACGACGTGGGAGGAGGAGGAAGGACGACCACGGCGACAACGATGACGGAAACGACCACGACGCCAAAGAGGACGACGACGACGAACACGAGAAAAGACAGAGGACGACGTAGGCGACGACGACGACGACGACGCCGGAGGAGGGAGGACGGCGACGACGACGACGACGACGACGCAAGAGCGCGCGCGCACGCTTTTGTTGAAAATCCGTGTTGCGAAACCTTGGGTTTTTGTAGGTTTTTTGGACGCACGATTTTGAAATCCTTCCGAAACTGATTGGTTTTGAAGGTTTTCGGCATACGCCCGCGACGACGCTCGCGTCTGCACTTCGTCCCTTTTTTTGCAGAGGATTCTCGCGACGGCACACGCGCAAGGGCGTTCTACAGATTTCGACGTGCGCGCTCGCGAAGCCCGTTTGGTAGCATGTTGTGAAAATCTTGAATAACCTATGGTTTTCTGCAGATTTCACAAGAGCTCGCGCGGAAACTTTTTTAGCAAATTAGTGTTGCGAAACCATGTGTGTTTGTATGTTTGTTTGAATCTCGATTGCGAAATCCTTCTGGCACC